ACCCTGCACAAAATGCTGTCAGGTTTCCCACCAGGCAGGATCAGGGTCATGGCCTTTTGGAGAACACAGGAGCCTTTCCTGACCTGGCCTTGCTTCCCTCCCCTACCTCCCTCAACTCCTCAGGACCAGTTGTGGGCTGCTTACTTCCTTTTCCCCTTTCACACCTGTGGTCGCTCTGCTAAGAATTCTTTTTTTTTTTTTTTGGTACTGGGGATCGAACTCTGGACCTTGCGTTTTCAAAGCAGGTGATGGAACCACTGAGCTAAATCCCCGGGCCTGCTAAGAATTCTTTACATGGTCCTAGCTCCTGTTCGTTTTTTCAAGAGGGTGGGCATGGCTGTTTCCTGGACCTGCTGTCACCCCCAACGAGCAATGCATGCTCCTCTCCCTCTGGCTGGCTCCTCAGAGCTGATGAGCAGAGCTGGGTTGGTTCATGACACAGGTTCTGGGATGAGAACCTGCCCCCCAACCCCTCCCCCAAACTGCAGGCTCCCAAGGGCTCCAACTTGAGCCCAGGGGTCCTGGGTGTTGGCTATAAGGTGAGTGGTACCACCAGAGCAAGGGCTCATCCCTAAATGCCTGCTACTAGGCTCAGGGCAGGGGCTTATGAAGTGCAAAACATTTTTACTTTATTTGAAAAATGAGTGAGTATCAGTGTATATATCAGTCTGTACTCTGCTGCTTTTCTTTAGCATAGACATTTCTTGCAATTTTTATGTCATTTTGTATCACTTAATTTTCATTATTGAACTTGTCAGAAAATGTAGATACTCTAGATAAGAAAGCAAGTCTAAGCTTGCTGCCTCCATATGACAGCTGTTTGAAGTTTTTAAAATTCTTTTTTGTGTATGCATTTTGTAAATAGTTTGCATGTTCATGAAAATACAATTTTATGCTCTGCCACCACCCATAAATCTTTTTTTTTTTTTTTTTTTTTGGAGACAGGGTCTCGCTATGTAGTTCAAGCTGGCCTTGAACTCATTATATAGCCCAGGCTGGCCTTGAACTTGCAGCAGTCTCCTGCCTCAGCCTCTTGAGTGCTAGGATCACAGGCATGAACACCACACCTGGCTCTTCCTGCCCGTATCTAAAGCATTGTTTGACTTCATTTTCTTAAAGTTTGTGTAATACTTTAAACATAACAGATCTGTATGTAAAATAGTTAAAAAATTATAGATTCACTTTTCTTTAGTTGGATACTGATTTGACCTATGCTTTTTCATGAAGGATCTTTTTTTGAAGCATGAGCTTTTGTCACTTTATTGTTAACCACTGAATATTATCCAAAACTAGAGATGTAACTATAACTTAATTGTACAACACAAAATTATGCTAAAGGTAAAAACTTATTGGAATTTAGCAAATACTCATTAGTATATTTTTACATTGCTACATGAACATGTGCCTTCCATTGCTAATGATAAAAGTTATAATTTTTTTAATCACTATGAAAATTCATATTGCAAATGGCTGTTCCTGTTTAGAAAAATTCACACAGTTTTAAAAATGGATTAAATCCACTTTAACCCTAATCTACAAATAGATTATAAACAGCAAATATAACTGGTAATTTTTCAACACTCTAACAAGCTGATGTAGCAATGGTAGTGCACACAATTCAAAATGAGGAAAATTAGTGAAAATCCAATGGAAGTCCGTGTTTTTACCTATTATGACAATTGCATTAATGCTTTGGAAAAGTGAACATTTATGTTTCAAAGTGTGAAGGGTAAGGTCTACTATTTACTCCTCTGATGTACTGCAAGTAGAAATGTTCTCTTCTGTAGGATTTTGAAGCATGTGCATAACCACTGTACAACAATCACTTCAAGATTAACCAGTTATCTTTTGTCCTACAACATGAAGGATCTTCTTGCATTTTGCCTTTCTGTTTTATTGGTCTCGAGGATGCAGTGTGGCCTCGTGAAGGGCCTCATGCAGAAACTTGTGCCCACCATGGAATTACCAGAGTACAAGGAAGCCACACCACACATGGCCACTTGGGTGGGACTGGACTGGAAGCCCTTTCATGGTTCCTACTAGAGCATGTTGTCTGCCTCCCTTCTTAGACTGTGTTCCTTAAAGGACAAGTAACACATTTCACTCACAGGCTGAGTGCGAGGCGGATGCTTAGTATCTGCATGCTGTCTCCTACAAGGACTTAGGCATAGAAGGCAGCTGACACATGCAGTGTCTCTGACTCCCACATGGCTTCCCTTTGCCCCGGCGCTGTAAGGTTGTAGTGAGAGGAACTGGGGGCTCTGTTGGGGAGGTCCCCCAGCTTTGAGGCTCAAGCCCTTCCTTGTCTTGGCCTCTGTAGAGCTGGGCAAGATTGCCATGACCTTGGCATCCAACCAAGGTCAGGTGTGGGCCTCTCCTGCAGTGCCCTGCCCTCTGCCCTCTTGGCTAGTGCACCTTCACCAACAGGCCTGATGTGTTCCTCAAGGACAGGACACAATTGTCTCCTGAGCTTCCTGCAGCTTCCACCACTGCAGGCCTCAGACTCTTCCCTGGGGTTCCATAGGTTTTCTAGTTAGCAGGAAAAAGGTCAATTTCATCCAAAAGAGTGACCCCAAAGAGCCTGACATTGATGGCCCTCAATTTCCCTGTCCCCCATCTGTGCTCTTCCAGGACAGTCAGGATGGGCTGCATGGGTGGCATCCCTGTCCCCTGTTTCCTTCCTCCCCTCCCCAGAGCTGCAGGCCCCCTAGGGCTCCCACCTGAGTTCTAGGGTTAGTGACAGGCACGCCCTCTGCCCAGTCTTGGTTCAACATTGCTACCCACACAACTCTCACACACCCACCCATGCTCACTCATGCATGTTCACTTCCACACTCACACACCCCTCCCCACACCCACAGGTACACCACAAACTTAACACACACCACAAACTCCAGTGGCTCCCAGTGACAAGCTGGAAGGAACCACAAGTTCTTGGGAGTTTTTTTTTACCTCTTACCCTAAATCTCCCCCTCCCTGTCCCTCACCCAAGGAGGAGAGTGGCATTTGCCCTGGGTGGGGCAGAATTGTTTCTGGGCCACAAGTTCCATGGCCTTGACTCAGGTCCAGGCTCTTCCCAGGAAGTGGAGTTCAATCTCTGGTCACAGTCTGGTCACGGTCCCTCCTCACCCACTGTAGCACATGCTGGTTGGCAGTGTGCCCACACCAGCGGGAAGACTGCTGGGCCAGGCACCCTGGCTGGGCTCTGAGGGCCTGGCCACTGCCCAGAGGCAGGTCTCATCCTCTGCTGTCCCCTATGGTCCACTTCCTTTCTGCCTTTCAGCACGTTTTTCTTCTAAACTAATAAAAATCATACCTTTCCTTAAAGACCTCATTGACAACTCTCTTGTTAAAAAGACCTCCTGGCGTGCGGCTCAGTCCCACCTCAGTCTCCCTGTAGCAGTGGCACCTGTGTGGGAAAGCCAGGGGATGATTCTAGGGGGACAGCCCTGGTTACCTCGAGAGGGTTTCTCCAAGCTCCAGGGGATGGAAGCCTCCTCCAGTCCCACGGCATGGTCCCAGGTTGCTAAGGCTTTCACGGATAGTTGGGGTGATACAGGGGGCCAGTGTGGGGTGACAGCAGATCCACACCTGGTCCCTGCCTCGCAGGTGCCCCTGATCTGATGGCCTCTCTTGAGTGTAGGTGGCCAGGGGATGGAAAGCCACCACATGCTTGAGCTTGACACTTCTTCAGCAGACACCATCTAGACAGAAGACCCAAAGGGAATGCTGGGCAGGCTAGTCCTGTTCCCACCACCTGCCCTCAGCAGAGGAGAAGTGGCATGCTGAGCTCAGAAAGTGGGGGAGAGGAGAAAGGAGTTCAAGGACGGTGACTGGGAATGTGGCTGTCCACCTGAGAACACAGACTCCCTTTAATTCTAGAATTTCAATTTGGGTCAGGTTTGGTGGCACATACCATAATCCTAATCCCAGCACTTGGGAGGCTGAGGCAGAAGGATCACCTCAAGTTAAAGGCCAGCTTGGGCTGTAGTAAGTTCAAGGTCAACTTGAACTAAATAGGGAGACCCTATCTCAAAAAACAAAACAAAACAAAACAAAAAGAAAGAAAGAAAAGAAAACAAAAGAATTTCAATTTGAAAATAATCTTGTTTATGAAAAGGTATAAAGTAAAAAATTACCACTGCCTGCCTCGAAAGCACAAGGTCTTGAGTTCAATCCCCGGTACAGAAAAAAAAAATACACAGAAATTCCTTATATAGTTTACCAAGATTTACCCATTGTTAATGTTTTGTTCCATTCCAACCCCGTACACACACACGTCTATGCATGTACATGCATGATCGCTTATCCTGAACCATTTGAAGGTAAATGATACACATAATGGCCTCTGCTCTAAATCCTTCAGTGAGTATTTCTCAAAAAAAGGGATATTTTCTTACATTACCACCATGCAATCATCCAGTCATAGGTTTACACTGATACCATAATTTCATTTTATCTACCACCCATTTTCCATCTGTTCTTGTAGATCTAATAATGTCCTTAGCCCTATGTGCCCTGCAGCAGGATCCAGGGTAATCTTGGAGATTTTGTTCATTTGTCATGGCTCTTTAGCCTCCTTTAATCTGGAATGTTTCCCCAGCCTTCCGTTGTCTTTTATAACATTGAAAAGGCAGGGGACTTTTGTGGGGCTCCATAGGCAGAGGAGATTTTGCCTAGTTTGAGTGAAGGCACCTGGGTCGGCTGTCCTGGCTCAGTCTTGCTCTACCATGCATTAGCTTTGTGAGAATAGTACAGTTGCTCACTCTTGGGTGTCTCATTTAGTCCTCTGTAAACTCAGAATAACAATGGATCTATTTTATGGGGTTGTTAGAGGCCTTGCTCACAGTAAAAGCAAAGGAATGCATTCCCTGTTGTTATGACAGATGTCTATGGCTCAGGGTCAGATCATGTGACATCTCAGGTCTTCAGGTCATCTCAGGTCATTTTCAGTTAGTCTAGGGGCTCTGAGGTCTGAACAAGAGGTGGAAATACAGACCATGCCAGCTGAAGATCCAGCAGGGACATGGTCACTGCTACAGACAGTACCTAGCCACTCCAGGTAGGCAGTGCAGGTTACGCCAACACCCACCAAGTGATTCCCTTCCCAGTCACCAGTGTGGCTGGGCACAAACCCTACACTGTCCAGCCAGCCCTCAGAGATGGCTGTCAGTGCACCTGGAGAGGAGGCCTGAGAAATGCTCAAGTGACAGAGTGTGCCTGAGTGTCAATGCATGGCTTCCTTGCCCTTAGGTGTGAGGGGAGCTCCACATAGACCCCAGGTTCCGCTGTGGGGAAAGCAGCATACACATTTCTACAGCTGCTGTGTGACTTCTGTGAGAGGGTTGAGGAACTTCGGAGAGACTCCTTATAACCAGATACTGCTCCTCTTTCTCTTTTCTAACCTAAAAAGGAACTGTGCAATGTGGGAAACAGTGCTTACAGGGTTGAGATGGGCAGGCAGTGCAGAATTGGTGGAAGGGACTCCGGAAACCCTCCTGATTTCTGAAGCTTGCTTCTTTTCTGAAACCTATCAATTAAGGCTAACATATAAAGCATTCCATCTGTCTATCTGTCCATTCATTGATCTACCCATTCAACTCTCCATCCATTCATCCATCCATCCATGCATGCATGCATGCATCTGTCCATGAGGGATGAGGGATGGCTTCCAATGAGGGACGGCCTCACCTGTGGCCTCCATACCTCTGCCTCACCATCCTAATAGCTGCTCATCTGGCATTGTCAAGGAAGGAGGTGTTCCACAGACTTGCTTCCCCCTCCCGTCACTTTCATCCATTTAAAATTGCCTAACTTCACTTAGTTTAGCTATTTGAGAGAAAAAGTTTTCTAAAATGAATCATAACCTTCCTTCCTTCTTAGAAGAGGATGTGCCCCTTCATCTGTGTTTCCGGATATCCCAGGTCACTTCTCTGAATAGAGGTCACCGCTCTGTGGAAAAGATGATGGTGTGGGCCCACAGGGGCTATTCACAGCTGTGCACGATGGCCCCAGTTGCTCTGCCTTTTCATAACTCATTTTGTACTCATTTTCCTTGATTCTGAGATGCCCCTCATTTGCCATGTCTTACAAGTCTTGGCATGCTTCTAGTGATTTCATCTTTAAATGGTCTGAGCTGGGAATTTGCTGGTCAAATATGTTAGATTTTTGCAAAAATCCTTTATATATTTATCAAAGACTTTTTAATCATTAAAGCAGTGTCTCTGCCTTTGTAACTCCCATGTTTGGCTCATTTATAAAATGCTTCCACTTTCCAGGCAGTTGGGGTCCTTGGATGCGTAAGTCATAGATGTGGAGGCAGCATGGTATAGAACTGCTGCTTCTTGATCCTTACTGAGTTGTTCTCTCTGTCCTGGTTGACTCCTCTCTCAAAGCGGGGTAAGGGAGATGGGTGGGGCCAGCTGTGGCAGAGGGAGGGTTTCTGAGGGAGAGGGGAAAGCCTGGGCCCTACTGATAGTGTGCAGGTGGCTGGAGAAGAGACCACGGCCTCTTCTTCACTCTTGGTGGCAGTGATCAGCAGGGATGAGGCCATAGTGGTCGAGCCCAGAGCCCAGCAGGGAGTCTGAGGGCCTGGTGGCCTCTCAAGGCCTGATGAGGGACTGGCACTAGAGGTGAGTGGGGAACTTGGGGAGGGACTGGGGAGCTCGGCCTGTAAGCACTCCACACAACTCAGCAGCACACAGGGCTCTCTAAGCACACAGATGGAGGGACACCCAAAACAGGCACCTGCACTATATGGGACACCTTTCTATAGGTGGCAGCGGCAATCAGGTGGAAACTCGAACAGGACACTCCAGAGGTAGTTCCTTCCTTTCCCTCTCTCTCACAAAGATCTCTTCCTTTGTCCCTCTCTAATCCTGGATCCAGTGACCCCACTTTAGAAAGTGACAGCCTCTCCCCCACTGACAATTGTACATTTCCACATGATGGGTCAGTGAGCTGCTGATCCCCTGCACACGCTTGGACACACACTGCCTTCATGCTCAGACTGAGAGAAGGCCCTGGCCCCCACTCCGCTCCCTCATCACTGCTGCAGCTGTGGGCACAAGGTCCCTTCTGCTCGGTTCCCACCAGCAAGGTCTTGGATATTGGGGACCAGTGGACTGATCTCAACTCCTTTTTTCCTCTTCCCAGGATTTTTGTCAATTGAAGCCTGGCACTCGGAAAGATTCTTTGCTTTGGCTTTGACTGGATCACACTCTGGCAGGTATCAAGGGCTGCAGTGCAGGGCTGCAGGGGCTGGTGGTGGGGGCCAGGGGGCCAGGCAGCCAGGCTCCAAGCTGCTGGGTCTGCCTGGGCCCCTGTAGCCTACCAGTCCTTGGCTTATGAGGCACTGGCTTTTGAGTTGCTGCTGGAGTGCCTGGTGTGCACCGGGTACCTGCTTGAGAGCCTGTGCTACAGCTACAACCCCACCTTCCTCACGAGATGTGGCCTTGGAAGGAATGGGAAGTCAGGCAGGAGGCTGTCACTGGCCTGGCTCCCCCATCCATAGCCCCTGTGCTGTCTCCTCAGGGGGCTGGTATTTGATGCACTCTATGGGAATCTAAAGGTAGACACATGGGAATGTGCTGCTGGGTGCCCACAACTTCACTTTCCTCTCTGAGTAAGTGATAAGGGTGGCCAAGGAGGTGGAAGACAGGGGAATGGAGCTCCACGTGCTGGGTGAAGAGGGTGGAGGGAGAGTGACGCAATCTGCACAAATGCCAGCCAGATGAGGCAGAGGGAGAGGTGGAGGTGGGAAGGTTGGCCAGGGTGTGGAGAGGCCTCTCTGGGGAGGCACCAGGGAGTGGATGCCACCCCCTGCACCCCTGAACCTGGCACCCCCTCCTTAGGATAGAGATCTGGAGCTTCTACCCCAGCAAGTTTCATTCAGAGGGATGACATGCAGTGGTTCCACATCCTCAGCATTCTCTTCAACCTGCTTTGTGACGGCAGGTGGAAGGGGTGGGAGGTGGTCCTTAAGGTCCTGAGGCCAGTGACTGAGCCACCTCTCTGTCCCAGAAACCTACCTCTATGCCTGCCTGGTGGACTTTTTCTCCAGCTGCTGCTGATATACCAAGTGCATCCTGTGCCCTGCCTAGCCCTGGAGTGTCCAGGGGCCCAGCCCCAAAGTGAGGGGCCCAACCAAGGCACAGAGGTCCCTTATGAAGGGTTTGGGGGACTCCAGGAGCTCAGGAAGAACCTGCAACCTGTGATGCCCATGGGCCACACTCAGCACGGGGGTGACATCCCTCTCAGGATGGCTGGGACATAAACCCAGTGTGAGCCCCCGTGAGGCTGGAGGAGTCACTCTGTGGAGGTTCCAGGGCTGGTGGTCACCTCAGGCCACCTTATCAGCCTCTCTTGTCTCCTGTTGTCCTATCCCAGCTGTGATACTGGCTATCAGCATGGCAACCTCTTCATGTCCTTCCAAAGTCTCTTCCAGGATGTGAATGAAGCCATGAATAATATCCATCTGTTGGTGAGTGGTCCAGGTCTGCAGGGGCTCTGACCTGTCTGCCCTTGGCTGCCCAGGGCTTCCACCAGTTCCAATAGACCTTCTACTCCTCTTCCCACCATGGACAAGGGTCTGGCTTCCCTTGTCTCTCCCGCCACCATGGATGCACACACAGCTCTGCTCCCTCCTGCAGGGCTGTCTCAAGGAGAAGACCCTGCAGGACTTGGGGAAATAGGTGGACAAGGATGCGAGTGGCCTCACATCCTGGCCATGACTGCTTTGGCCCCTCCTTGATCATCTTGGTCATCTCCCTCCAGGTTGCCTGAGCTCTCACCCTGACATTGCTCAGGGGCTTCCTCTGGAGCCATTTGCTCTGGGAGGTGGGCTTGGCTTGGCTCTCATGCTGAAACCTAAGAAGAGGATTCCAGGGCAATGATGGGGGTTCCCAGCCCTGGGGTCACTCCACCTTTGTCCCAGGCATGAATCTCTATCCTGCTGGGCAAGATGTAGGAGGCTGGGAAGGTGTTTTGGCCACCAATAGCAGCTACAACTACACTAATGTGTTTGTGGAGGGCATCCTGGGGACTGCAGGAAATAAGGAAGGGAGTGGGGAGGAGCAAAGACCTTTCTACCCCCACCTCAAAGCTGGCCGCTTGGGTTCCATTGCTCGGCCTTTCAAAGCCTCAGTGGAATGAGAAATTTTCTCGCCATCTTGCTCTGGGGCCCTGGGAGAGGGGGATGGGTGCTGGGCAGAGGCCCAGCCTGAGCTGAGTGCCTTGACCCCTGTCCTGCCCCTGCCAGGCCATCGTGACCTACCTGTTTGCTGCTAGTGAGGCAAGTATTTGGGGCTGGGCCAGGGTGGGTGGCCTAAGGGCAGAGAGAGCCAAGACCCTCTCGTGTCCACCCTGATCCCAGCAAGGACCAGGCCTGTGAGTGATCATTTTCCCAGTGGGCAGGGGAGAGGGTCTTATGGCATCTTAAAGGGCTACACAGGCAGGTGGATGTCTGGGGAGGAGATGGCTGGGTTGAGAAGGGGGTGAGATGAGAGCATAGCAAGCCAGGGGAGGGAGCATGTGACAGGCCCTAGGCACTGGTGTGATTACGTGCTCCTGGGCAGTGGGTGGGGCCTCAATTTGGTGACTGTGCTCATGTCACCTGTCCTTAGGTCTCTCTGATTGCACCTTAAGGGGCCCTGGAGGCTGATCTGGTCACGTGAAGTTCAATGCTACCTCCACAGTCACCTTTTGAACACTTCCCAGTGCCCAGCTTGGCAGGGGACACGGAGGAGTGAGACCCACCAATACCCAGTCCAAGGGATGTCCCATCTGACAGGGAGGCTGCTGCAGCGGGGTCAGATTTCCCAGGCTGTGCACGTGTACCCTGTGTGCCTACACATGTCCCCCACCTTGCCCCACAGGCTGAAGCCTCAGCCAGACCCTGGAGGTCCTACTTTGACCTGATTGTGGTGGACACGCAGAAGCCCTGCTTCTTTGCGGAGGAGACAGTCCTGAGACAGGTCAACATGGTAATGGCAGGTGCTGAGGCCCCATTTGCCTTGACCTCTGGTTGGCTGGGGGAAGACTTCCTGCCCTTGGAGTTGACCTGCTTGTGACCACTGCTGGCTCTGTTGGCCTCAGTCCCTGGAGGCAGATAACTGGGGGGCCACTTTGAGGCCCCACAGCCTCTTCCCTTACAGGGGAGAAGTGTGGTTCTCCTGGCTCAGGGACCCCTCTTCTCCTGCCAGAACTTGGGGATGCTCCACAAGGGCACTTACACCGGGCCCCACCAGCACTGTGCTGTCTACTCTGGAAGTACCAGCCCCCACTCCCCCATGGTTCTCTCACCAGGAGCCCAAGTCCTAACCTCCCACCCGGCAGGAGGGGTGCACCAGCACCAGTCCTCCCTTGGTGGGCCCGGCTCCTCAGACGTGGTGTGTGAGCTGCTTGGTGTGAGGGGAAAAGATATCCTGTACATCGGGGACTACATCTTTGGGGACCCTATCAAGTCCAAGAAGTGGCAGGGCTGGCAGACTTGCCTGGTAGTTCCTGAACTCTGCCCCAGGGAGCTGGGTATCTGGGCCCGGGGAAAAGGGTGAGAAGGGGATCAGGACTGGGGAGGGGGCACCTCTGTCTTCCCCTTTTCCTGTGGTGGGTTAGTGGTGACCAGGAATTGGGTCCAAGCTGTGGTTTGTGAGGATCTGTCTTAGACACAAGATAACAGAGACCCAGAGAGAGGTTATCCATTTGCCTGAAGTCACACAGGCCTAGGGGCCAAGCTGGGACTCAGGTCCACATGGTCTGACTCCAGATTCCCACAGTGCTTCTAGCGGCTTCCTTCCTCCCCTTACCCTGGCCTCCAAGGCAGCCCTGAGGGTGCTAGTGTGTGTGAGGCACATTTTTCTAGCACCCAATGTCATCTTTGGGGTCAAGGGTTAATGAAAGTCCAACAATTTGGGGTTTGTTCTGAGAGCTGCTGGGTTTGAGTCATTGCCATGTGACTCTGGGAAGGTCACCTGGGTCCCTGAATGCCTTTGTCCCTTGTCCCATGGGGCTTGTGCGGTCTGCTGTGCTTTGGGTGGAGTTGTATCTGCCCTGAGGGGTCTCGGATGTTGGGGGATGGAGCAGAGACCACTGGGAGGAGCCTGACAAAGGGCTGTCACCCCTGCAGTCCCCTCTGTCTTTCAGAATGGTCAAAGCAGCTGAAGAGTCTGGACACTCACCTGGCAGATCTGTACCAGTGAGAGCCCTACATTTTTGAGGGTGGTGGTGGGGAGAGGGATGGAGGTGATGGCCATGCCCAGGTCTGGCAGTGAGGTCTGGGCCAAGGCCATCAGGAAACTGAGAAGGCTGATCACTTTCTGTGACCTCTAGGCTTTTCCTTTCCTTTTTTTTTTTTTTTTTTTTTTGGTACCGGGGATTGAACTCGGGACCTTGGCTTTAGTGTTTTTCTTTTCCCAATTACAAAGGCCATATAAATGTTGGTGTGCATGTCAAAGAGTCAGTGTGGGTCAGATATATATGTATGTTGATATATATATTTCTTTCTTTTTTTTTTGGTACCGGGGATTGAACTCGGGACCTTGGCTTTTAGGCCTTTCCTCTTAACACACCCCGGACGGACTTGGCTGGGGGTCTCTCATGCCTGCGCACACTTCTGGTCCAACTTCCCTGGCTGCCAGGGGCCTTCTCGACACCCCCCGGGGCCCTGGCACACTCCTCTACTGCCTGGGTCACAGGGCCATTTTTGCACCAGGCACATGGATGGCAGCAGTTATGGGCTACAAGCCATCCACTCCTCCAAGAAGGAGATTCAGGTAGGAGAGCAGGGGAGGAGGGCCGCGCGTGTCCTCTCCCATCCCTGCTTGGATCCCCTTTGTTTCAAGTCCCAGGAGTCCAGCTCCGATCCACTCCGAGCTCGCCAAACTCCATCCGACCTTGTCCTCCGGCGCCCTCTGCTGGTCGGTATTCCCGCAGCACCGGCAGGCTGCCTGGGGGCTGGGTGAGCCGGGTCCTAGGGTTGCCTCCGGACGCTCAGTCTTCATCGCGGCTGAATCTGGAGAAGTGCCGCCTGCTGGGCCCGGTCTTCACGTGGCCGGCTGGCCAGCTGTGATCGCTGTCTGGGGTCAGCCAGAGAAGGGGCCTGAGAAAATGAGATTCAGGGCCAGTGAGCTGAAGGGGCCTGAGAAAATGAGATTCAGGGCCAGTGAGCTGAAGGGTCCTGGGAAAAAGAGAACAAAGGAAAACATTCCCTTGAGGCTCTTACTGACCAGCCGGGCCTAGACCAGAACTGGAAGCGGGAGGATCCCACAGGGGGCAGGGTCACAAGGAGCCATCTTGAAGGATCTTTATAGAGCCTTTGGCGCATAAAGTTGAGATGGGTGTGGATTATCATCCCTAGTTTATCAGATGAGGAAATTTAGGCTCTTGGAGGGGAAACAGCATGCTCTTGGTCAGCAGGTGTCAGTGTCCCCACCGGTTCCCCAGGCTCTAACGGCACTGTCTGTTGGTGGGGCAGGGCCTGCCAGGCGAGCAGGAGTGGGGCTTGGTGTTTGGACCTCGCCAAGACCTCTGCGGGGGCATCAGCATGTGAAGTCGGCGGTGGGCTCAGTCCTGGTGGTCACGTTCCTGGGGCCTGGGGATCACTGTGAGGGAATCCCGGAGCGGGACCTGGCAGAGTGGAGAGCTGCCCCATCCCAAAAGCATGTGCTCCGTGGGTTTAAAGCCTGTAGCTCCTTTCCTGCAGAAGGGCACAGGCCTAAGTACCCAAGAAGGGAATGGGCGAGGGCCCCAGCAGGGGGCGCTCACCTTCATTGTGGGGCCCACTGCCAGGGCAGTGCTGCTTGAGGAGGGCTGGGACCTCGGTCAGCCGGGAGCTGGACCTGTGCCACAGCACCATAGGCAGCCGGTTCCTCAGCTGCTTCCACCAGACGCTCTTCTTCAGCCAGCTGACTGCGCTGCCGGACCTCTATACCGCTACCTGCCTCAACTTCCTGCACTTCCCGCTCAGCTCCCTGTTTTGGGCCGTCCAGGAGCTGGTGGGTCCCTGCAGTCTCCCTGGCCACTCTGACCGTCCATCACTTAAGGATCCACTGGTCCCCAGCCCTGATAGGAGCTCTGTAGGTCCCCAAGCCTAGCCTCCAACTTTCAAACCCAGTGGGGTCAAAGCCTAGCAGATAAGTTTGCTACTTAAGGGGGGGAGGGGAGAGTAAGAGTTATGGTCATAGGGAGAAGATGCCTCTGCTGGGGATGTTCCTTGTCCCCCGAATTAACTTGGCGCCTGCTGTAAACTGAGACTCCATTATCTCATTATTTCCCTGGTAGAAGTGATGCCAGTTGCAAGGAGAAAAGGCACATCCTACTCTCAGGAGTTGCATAGTGACTTCCTAGGAAGGGGGCAGTGGATAGCAGCGAGGGAGCAGCTGGTTTTCTGGCAGGTTTCATCCACATGGATATTAGATGGCCAATCCCAAACTCCAGATTTTTATCTTATCCTTTCAACAACTCTGAGAAGTGTCTTTCCAACCAAAGTCTGGGAAATGGAGTCTCACCTATTCTGAGATGTGACCCCATCCTCCAGCCAATGCTGGCCAGGGAGATGCCAGGCCCTGGTTGTCCCGGCCTGGGGCACAGGCTCACCCCTGGTTACAGCATGTTCCTCTCACAGCACTTAGGCTGGGGATGGGAAAGAGGCGGCCTGCGGAAACTGAGGTACTCTTATTAGAGGCAGTACATGGCAGGCATGCAACAGCAGGCTTTTACAGCATGTGAAAAACTCAGCCAAGTTCCTGGTATAGTAGACTAAAAAATGTGAATGGCCATGTATCTCCTCTGTGTCTTCTGGTTTACAGTTGTCTCTACAGCAATGCTGTATGCAATACTCATTAATCTTCTTTTAAAATTCACTTTACATTTGGCTCCTGTAAAAAGCTGCCCCTAAATGTTAGGCTCGATTTCTGCCACGGCCCATATTTCCACTACAATTTGTGTCAGGTGATAAGGGCCTGCCTTCTTTCCTCCTGGTTTCTCCTCTGCTCCCTACATCTAGGAACAGCTATTTACTAAACAATAGAGTTACTGAGTATTGACAAAGAGCTTCATTTAAGGTGTTTTCTGCAGTTGCTGTAGCTTCCACAATCATTTCCCCATCCTTTTGCACCGGAGACTCTACTTAGTCTGGTCAGGTGGTTTAAAACCTCCAATTCGTCATTTTGAAAATTACACACTACTAGATACCAATAGTTCATCCTGGAATGTTACTGCTAGTACCCAGGGAGCAACATGAGAGGTCCTGCAAAAACCTGGCATCAGGAAAGCAAAGCTGCTCTTCTGAGAGCTGGGCTGTGATATCAAGACAGTGGTTTTTGGGGAGAGATGGAAAACCAGGCCTGGGGAGAGGGAGGGCATGGGTGACAAGGATGAACCATTTTAGAAGCCAAAAAAAGGATGGCAGTGCAGGCTTGATCTCGAGGGACTGTTAGGGACTGAAGTGTGTCCAGGTCTGAGGCAAACACATTCCTCACACGGAGAGACTTGGTTCAGCTCCCTTATCCTGGTGATTTTGCATATTGACTCCTTAAGTCCCGTGCTCACTGTGACCTCTAAGCAACCCTCTGGGCATTCTTTGGCTTCCTGGTAAAGCAAGTCTGCCTAAGGGAAGGATAGGGCTGGCCATTTGCATCCTCCATTTCAGCCATGGAAAGTTAGTCTGCTGGCATAAGCCTTATAGCTCAGTTTTATGGACCTTGTTATTATAAAGCTGATCCTGAGAGATGGATCTGCTTCCCTTACAATGAAAAAAAGCAGTTCCTGGGGTGAGGGTGATTGTCAGGTCCTTGATTAGGGTGAGTTCTCCAAGCAACAAATGCTCCCTACGAGGCCTTTTGGGACAGAAGCCCCCATTACTGCTTTCTATAATAAATAAGATAAACAGATAAGCAAGGATAAACAACAATTTATTTTTTTTTAAGATAATACTTAAATATTAAGCTAAAATTTGAAATGTATTGCCTAGGCTTTTCTATACATTATATTTACATCATGACTCTGATTTTACCTTTCCAAGTGCAGTTTTGCCAGGGGCTAGAAAAAGCCATGTGTCATAGTCCCTGGGGCTCACACTGCCTTCTCAGGCAGCTGTCCCCTGTCAAGAACAGAGGTGAAGAAGCAACTGCTCCCTCCCCACCCTTCTCACTTATCCCCTTTTGTTTTAAGTTGAGCATTTCTGCATAATAAATGCAAAATTAGGTTTGGGTATAAAAAACTAGATGACCACCCCAATCTAGGGCTGTGTTTTGTTCAAGGAGACATGGCCCAGAAAGGACAGGCATCACCCTTATGAGCAGGGGTGCTGTGACAGGAGTCAGGGATCACCCACACATGTCAATTGTGATCACTGAGTGAAGGCACAGCTAGCAGAAGCTCATCTGTAACTTGGGCGGTTTGACCTTCCAGCCTGGCATGCTAGTTTCAAACTTCTGCTCTTCCACGTGTAAGAACTGGCTCTTTCTGCTAAGGTGGATGCCGAAAGGGAAGTCCATCCTGTTGCAGTGTCAACCTTCAGATATGGAAAATAACTACAGCGAGATTAAAGTATTTCAGTAAAGTGCAAATTGCTTCCACAGTGGTGGGGAAAATTCTATACAATACTTTGAAATTTATGTATGCTGTAAAACTGTAGCAAACTACAGTCTTTTTTTTTTTGGTACTAGGGATTGAACTTGGGTCCTTGGCGCTTGCGCCGCAGACAGTGAAACCACAGAGCTAAATCCCCGGTGCTCAAACTATAGTCTTAACACATAAACTGAAGACTTTCCTACGGGGATATAAAATTTGAGAGTAAATCCAGTGAATTACTTCCAAAACCCCAAAAGCCCATAGTCTGCATTCATGATGCCTTGCTGTTACGAGTTTTTCAGGTCATCTGGACAAGAAGTCTTATGGAGACCCTGAAAGACTTTCTTTTTGGTACCAGGGATTGAACTCAGGACCTTGCACTTGCAAGGCAGGCGGCAGAACCACTGAGCTAAATCCCTGGCCCTTTGAGAGACTTTTAAGAAAAAAAGCATTAAGAAATTATGGTTCAAGGGTTTCAAACCCTAATGTTATAGGCAAGGCCTCGTTTTTACGGAACACAAAGTACTCTGTTTCTTCCACTTCTAATAGCTCGTCAAGAGAAGCCACTACCAAATCGTGCTCCTGCAGCATTTCCGGGTAATGGGACATGGCTTGGTTGATTCTTATTGAACGCCGCACGGGAGTGATAAGCTTCATGTCTTGCACTTCTGGCATTCCATTTTTTCTGAGAGACAGGAAGAGATGCATTTATTTATTTACTTTTGTGTTTTCTTTTTTTTTGAGACAAGGTCCCCTTATGCAGTTCAGGCTGGCCTTAAACTCATGGCAATCCTCCTATCTCAGCCTTCCAAGTGCTGGCATTACAGGTATGTGCCACCATGCCCAACTAAGAGATGCATTTAAAACCTTTGTAACTTTCGAAAGATTCTACTTGTTGTTCTTTCTTACTCCATAATAAAACATGACAGACATTTCTGTGTAAGTCAATACAAGAAATATGTCTAGAGTAGCTGTCGTCCTATGATGGCTTTACCCTAACTTCTAGACTACATTTGCAGTGGTCACCTGCTTCTGGATGGCCTAGGCATACAGAAAGCATCAATGAAGTGTGAAGTGTGGTTTTTATTTGAAGTCAACTGCTTTGCAGCTGGTGTTTGTTTATTCCATAAACTTATAAGTGTTAACAAGTCTTAAAGAAATTGGGCCTACCACCAAATTTGGTTGGACTAATGACTTATAAGATTCTTTTCAGCTCTGACAGAAAATTATTCAAAAGATAGCTTTTAAGATGGTGAACCAAATCACAAATTGGGCACCTTCCCTGTAAATGCATTCCGATGGGCAGCAGCCTGGAGGACAGGATGAGACCCTCCCATGTAATGACTCTGATCTACAATTCACAAAACCACCAGACAACACTAGAGGGCAAGTCTATTGAAAGCTGTCTTAATACATTCTAGAGGCAACGAGAGGTGGATCCATTGCTTCTTTTCATCCATGAACTATCAGCCATGGGGCAGTGATGTATCCAGGAGAGGGGCACAGGACTGGACTGGATCCAGCTGTTTTCTAGGCAACTAAAACACACAACTGGGGCTCCTTCAGGATCAAGAGTTGAGAAGGGTGATTCTACACTTACTTTTTTGAAAATAACACTGATACTCTGACATAGCTCTATAAAATGATGACAGGTTTTGCCTTAAATATATATGTATTTAAAAAGCAGAGTGCTTCTGAGCTGTCTCTGACCAGTACAACTGCCTCCCTGTTCTTACAGGGCTCCTCACTGCTCCCTCTACCCCATAGCTCCAGAGGTGGCCTTTGCTTGGGACCTGGTGCTGGCCATCCCCCTCACCCGTCTGTGCCAGCCAAGCAGGAGAGGCAAGAGGGACCTCCAAGTGCAGAACAAATGGGAGGGAAGAGGTAGGACAGAATCCAGGAGGGAAGAGGGTGAATGCATTCCAACAGCCCTCCTGGCTCTAGTGGGCTCTTCCTCACCACATGTCACATCCCAGCAGGGGTGGCAGAGGGGGATGTGTGTATGCAGAGAACAGACTCACCCCTCCTATCGTGGTTTTAACCTCCCTTCACTCTCGACTCCTTCCTGGGTGCCAAAGATGAATTGGGCTGCCTGGACCTCTTAGGAAGCAGAGGAATCTATGAACTGCTGTTACTCTGGATCAGTGCAGGAGGGACTGAGAAGGGAACTGGGATTCGGTCTGGGAACACAAAGCCTACTTTAGAGTCTGCTTACCTAGGGATTGAAGAGATCTGTAATTTGATACCAGGATGATTATCCTGTCCTGCCTTGGTTATTTGGGGTGTTTCTGGAACCTGGTCCCTCTCTTCTGGAGGAAGACAGGGCTCTCCAGATTCCATGTTCTTGGCCAGCTCTTCCATTGATGTGATATTGGTTACAGCAACTAAAGAGTCAGAAGTGGTTCCTGTGTATGTAAGGAAAGGAAGGAAAATAAGATTTAGCAATTTAACACTTAAAGATCAATAAAATGAAAACATGATGCATACAGTGATTTCCTAGTGATTCTCATGAACTCCATATATTAAATAAAGAGTGAATGATTCAAAGTGGCACTTATAACTAGTTTTTCCTGCTAAGCCCTACAAGTGTCCACTGACATCAGGTGACCCTGCTAAGCATATGGCCCCTGGGCCTGGATACCCTTTCAACAGTGAGCACATCTCTCACAGCACACGTCTCAGAGCTCTCGTATGGACTGATCACTGGCCTTCTACCCTTACACCATACCACGGATTGATTTTCTTGACTTACTTGACCCAATCCCCTCTCTATCCAGGGATGACCAGGTGGTTATTAGACAGTAAGTAAAAAATACCCTGCATTAGTTTAAATTTGATGATAGTTCAACCACAATAATAACCAAGATGAAAGGAAGTAAGCTAGACTAAGACAGGCTGAGACCCTAAGAGTATTGGTTGGGCTGATAGGCAGCAAAGGGATGGATTCCTATTTCCTCTTTCCTTCCCTTTGAAGAGTGTGCCATGTATTATAAATACAATGCCAAATATCTGAACTGCAGTATTACTTCCAGTGTCTACTAGTGAGTTTATCTATTCTACAACTTTATTTCTTTTTTCTTTCTGGTACTTGGGATCAAATTCAGGACCTTGCACTTGTGAGGCAGGCATGGTGCCACTGAACTAAATCCCTAGCTTCTACGACTTTATTTCCAAAAGTAGTGGGCTAGCTATAATTTCACAGTACTTGTTTATTAGTTACATATATTCTTAAAGGAAACAGTTTTGTCACCTTATAAGAAGTATCCATTTTATTTTTTCAAGATAGCTTGTTTTTCTTTCTGTTCATATAACAAGTGTCACAAATGGTAATATGCCTCTCACTGTGTTTGGTATACTAGCTCTCATAGGAAAGTCTTCCAAATGTTCCAACCAGGGACAGTAATGGTCAAAAAGAGACTCTTGAGATGGCTAGTTAAAGAGATAACATGAATTTAGATGAGTGCTGGTGGGTTTATTATGATTAAACACAGAACTTAAACAAGGCATCTCTCCCTTTTGCCTGAGTCTCTTTTGATAAAGTCATTTGTCTTCTTCTACTAAACTCCAGGAGAGCAGGACACTGTGAGTTGCTGTGGTAGAAAAAAACCTTTGTTCAGTGTTGGACACATATATACTTGTAACAATAGAAATAAATTAGCTGATGGCAATGGCTGAAAAAGTCGGGCCACAAAAACCAAGAAGTGAGAGGAATACTGGGAGATTACAAAAACAACAGTACCTTCTGTAGTTCTGTTTTGATCTTGTAAAATATTAAGAACAACTTCTCGCAACTCTTGTATTGGCTGGAGGGAAGAAGAAAATAAAGGAGTACTATTAAAAGCATTTATGGGGAAAAAAAGAGCCAAGGGACTTTGTATAACAGCAAATAAACTTCCAGGAATAAAAAATGTTTCCTTTGAAAATCTCTTGTCTCTCTATAAACAACATTTAAAAGGTTATATAATTTCATGAGAAAAATGAAGGAACAGATAAAATGTTGGTTAAATGTTGGTGTTGATTTCAGCAAAAGATGTGTTTAAAGTTGTCATAACAAAATTTCTCTAAATCAAATTCTATTTTCCTGTTAACTTACATCATACTATTGAAGATGCTATCCCACATAAAGATTCTTGTTCAAAGAGTGAAGTACCATATAGCAAACATATCACATATTTTTAGTGTTGTCTTAATTAAGTTTAATTCTTGTTTTCATCATAAAAGTCATATAGCTCATTTCAGAAAAATAGAACAATGGGTTAAACTTAACAAAGAAAATCACTAATACTCTCATCATCCGAATACAATCTGTTAGCATTTTACGCAATTTTTCTCAGCTTTTCCTTTGTAAAACAATATACCTTAGAAAAGAACTTTATGGAAAAGTAATTTTCAGATAAAATGATCTGAGACAGCTTTCATATTTTCCAAGTATAGGGCCAGGCATTTAGCTCAGTGGTTCTGTTGCCTGCCTTGCAAGTGCAAGGTCCTGAGTTCGAGCCCCAGTACCAAAAAAAAAATGTGTCATATTTTCCAAGTATAGAAACCATACGACAAAGCAGAACATCATGAAGTGAATTGTACCTTTTCATACAGACATTATAGTTGGATATTTGTCTAATTGACATAGGATTCTGTATCAAATTAATAATAGATATATACCGACAATAAGACCTAAAAAGCAAAGTTTTCTATAGAGTTTTACAAAAATCTAAAATGTAAATTATGCTTTATGCTTAAGGTAGTTGGAAGAAATGTACAGAATACAGGGCAAGAATCTGAATTATATAACATAGTCAAGTATATAGGCTTTTGGTTAGAGATGGTGGCTTGCATATATGTTAATTTCTCTTGAAACTCTACTGAGCTGATAATAAGGGGATTAAAAAGAGGCAATAACTACAAAGAATAGGAGAGAATAAATAGCTATGTGATTTTGAAGTTGGGACACACAAGGAAGAGAAGTAACCAACGTGACCAACTTAAGCACTCAGGATCCTGAGCTGGCACTGTGGCTGAGGAAGGACCTTATTAATCCCACAGGGCTGCTGAAAGGTACAGGAGTGGCAGGTGGGGTGCAAATCGGGAGGATTCGGAGCATGTGTTCTAAAAGAATCAGACCATCAAATCCACCTTGCACCTGGAACTCCATGCAGCCTGCTAACTGCACCCCACACCTTGGGATATATTCTCCGAGTCCCTGGGAGACATCGTGCAAGATCGGGATGGGCATCTACTGAAAAGGGATAAGTGAAAGTTTCCAGGCTGAGGCTTGAGACTCCTACATCTCTTCTCCTTCACACCACTGGTAGCCTGGTTTCTAACTTCCAGGAAGGAGACTGGAAGAGGTTTCTCTAGAGAAGTTAACTTTAAGAGGACAGATCTAAAAATACTGATATTGAGGGTTCTTTACTAAATCACTGATACCAGATCCCTCTATGGTAAAGCCCCATCCATATGTCCAGGGCTTTTAATATTGTATGCCATTTCAAATCCACCTCTTACATGCAAACAGTCCCAGCATACTAGCATCTGAATAAAGCCTTTAATGAATAATAGAGAAAAAAAATAATAAAAATGATGAAAGAGAGAGGGAGGGAGGGATAAAGTAAAGTAAAGTGCTGGAGAAGAAGCAGGCAATGTAGGAAGAAGAGAAGTTGCTATGGGCTCTAGGAAGCAAGAGATGCACCCAACACAAGAAGAAGGTAAGGGCACCTTTGGGTGCTGGTGAAGAGATCCCATAATGATAGTTGGTGGAGATAGGAATAAAGAGAAATTGGTCCAGTCGGGAATAAACTGGAAAGGTCTCAAAGAAAAAAAATCAACAGATAATCTGACCTTTTAAAAGTACTTAGAAACTTAGAAAAGGGTATGGAAAGTAACTGCAAAGGCAAAATAAGACAATAATTAATTACAGGAAAAGTAGAACTTGTGTTTGAAAGGTAGTAACCACAGAATATACTATATGGTTCAACATATTCATATGTTTCTTACATATTCATAATAACGTGAACACTAAATAAAGTGACCAGAATTTCCACATGACTCTAATGGAGCATGAAGGATGGCAAAGGTCCAAGAGGATGTCAGGTAGATGTGTGTGCATGTGTTGGAGATTTGTGCAGGTGAGTGTGAAAGGGGGTTAAAACCTCATCCTGAATAACCAGAATTCTGCAAATTATGACTAAAACTGATACATCAAAAACCAGCAATGTGAGGGCCGGGGATTTAGCTCAGTGGTTCCACCACCTGCCTCGCAAGCTAAGGACCGAGTTCGATCCCCAGTACCAAAAAAACCCAACAAAAACAATAAACAGAAACCAGCAATGTGAGCATGTTTTCTGGAACTGTGGAGGTAAAAGTATTAAAATAATCAGTGTGCTCTGGGAAGTAGAAAATGGGAGGGGAAGGAGGCAGAGATTTTATTGAATGAACCTTACTGATTATTTGACTGTTGAAATGCTGTGCATGTAATACTCTGAGAAAAATCACAGAAACAGGTACTGTAGATTAGTAGTATGAAATGGAAAATGACATTTAAAAGTTATAAAATTATTTGATGCAGTTCTTGTTAAAAAATTACACAATGCTTTCCCCCCTAGGTTTTAGAGTTAAATAATTATTTTATGCAATATCTCTGCTTTATTGATATATGGCTATTCCAGTATTGAGGTTAATATATTTTTAGGTTCTTTATAAGTATTGGATATTGATGTTATAATTGTCTGTGCATTTACTTTCCATAACTGCATATTTCTACAATTAGTGTTAAATGGGGCATAGTCACTTGACAAGAAAACTGATTCTACTGGTTTACATGTCATATTGCTTCCTATGAAATATTTGAATATGTTCACAAAAGGTATATTCTATTTCATATTCTGTGTATAACTTTATGAAGTGAATTAAAAGTTTAACACTGGATTATACAATTATCATATTACAAACAAGAGTGAAATCCTACAAAAGAGAATTTTAAGAAGTCAGCCACCCAAGACAGACACTCACTTTTGCTCCATTTTTAATGGCCTCTTCGTATAGCCCAATAACATCAAAGGTGCCTTTTCTTGCCAACAGCTTTGCTTTGCAAATCCAGAATTTAGCAAATTTTTCAGCCTCAGGAATGTTGGACAAAATGGTAAATATTTCATTAGAAAGTACACCCTTGGAAAAAGAAAATACCCAGAGACAATTAGTACCATTTCACCATTACTTTCACATTTCCTAATATTTATTACAGAAGACATGCAGACATTGGTCTGATCATCTGAGCTTTTTAAAAATTTCAACTTTATTGAGGAATAATGTACATATAACAAAATGTACTCATTTTAATTGTATGTTTCAATGATGTTTTTGGTACTGGGGACTCAACTCAGGACCTTGCCCTTGCAAGGCAGGCGTGGTGCCACTGAGCTAAGTCCCCGGCCCATGTTTTAATGACTTTTGACACTGTTCATGAGATTTTAAGAGTTACATGAGACCAAACAAAGAGAAAAATATTTATCATAGCAGAAGGTAAGGAATATGTTTTACATTTTTATGGAGTGAAAAAGCAAAAACAGGGCTGAGGATGTAGCTCAGTGGTAGAGCACTTACCTAACAATGTGTGAGGCCCTGAGTTCAAGCTGCAAAAGCAACAAACCAAACCCTAGAGTTATCAACAGTTCATATGTAACATTCACAATACTATATATTTATAAATAGGAACAGTGAATAGCGGCCAGAATTTCTGCGTGACTCTTAACAGCAGAATGAAGGATTGTATAGGTATGCAAAGGTCAGGGGTGTTCATGTGGGTGTATGGGGGATTCACTGTAGGTGGATATGAAAGGGTTGATTTCCCACACAGGAACTTTGAAATGGCTTCTGTCATGGCAGTGATATGTACCAGGAGGAAGGGGGAGCTACCACCACCAAAGCCAAGGTATTGGTTCACTCAGGAGGGCAGCACCTCTTGCTCCTCTAGAAATGTGGGGGACACCAAGGTAAACTCATGATTAAGAATCACCAATATTTGGGGAGGCATAAAACTCAATAAACAAGAATGAACACTGGAGCAAAAAGTTGAGGGAGCAAAGAGGAATAAAATTTTAGAGTACTACAGTCAATATCTTTAGAGTGATAAGAGAATACTGCCACCATTAAACTCGAATGAGCTGTTTTAAAAGGCTCATAGAGGGCCGGGGATTTAGCTCAGTGGTTTTGCCGCCTGCTGCGCAAGTGCAAGGGCCCAAGTTCGATCCCCGGTGCCAAAAAAAAAAAAAAAAAAAGACTCATAGAAAGGCACAATAATCACATGGACAGTATTAAAGAATGAATTCATGAGCTGTATAAAATAAAAATTTAGAGTTCTGAAGGACACACCCATTGTTCAGTAATTCCAACATCTACCTAAGAGAATTTCTAGAAGGAAGTCTTAAGTGAACAAAGCTGAGCATAGACCAAAGCAGCTGCAGAAGGAAAATTTAAGAAATGAACAAAGAAATAATTGTTTAGTTAATAGAACTTTAATAGTCCTCTGGAAAGTCAAGCAGGATGAATGAAAAATGAATATTAGTATTCAGCAAACCAAGGATAAAAAGAAAATCTTTAAAGCTCTGAGAGAAGGAAAAAAAGGGATTACCATTAGAAGAATGAGACTCAGGTTGACATGTGGCTTTAATAAATTAACAGTGGATGCAAGAAAGAAAGTAGAGCAGTAACTTCAAATTTCCCAAGGAAAACAATTTGAAGTTAGAAAATTTCCCCAGCCTGATTGTGATTACAACATGAAGGCAAATGAATGACACTTTCACAAGCACTAAAGATGCAGCAAATTTACTGTTCAAAAACCATAGTTACTAATAAACTTTAGAGTTCATACAACAGACTTGAAACAAAGTTGCAAGAGTATAATATAAAAACTTGCAAACTATGTTTGAACTTACACCTACCATTTTATTTTGTTATTTCAATTTATTATTACCTTTATGAAATAAAACTATATGAAAAATAGAAATGAGGGGAATAAACAAAAGAGAATTCATAGATATTGAAATATAAAATAGGTTAAATATAAACATATGAGTAAAAACAATACATATATATGTATGGGCTAAATTTGCTTTTTTTTTTTTCCAAATCATTTTTATTTTCTTTTCTGGATGAGAATACATCTACATATGATTCTCTAGAAATGACATGCTTGACTGACAACCATGTTTTGTTGGCTTAGTACTCGGCCCTATCCCCCAAAATACAGAAAGGAGTCAAAAGAGGGGAGGGCAGGGGAGAGGACATCTGTATCCCTTCACAGTGCAGTACTTCCTGTAAGTTACACATATAAAATCACAAAGTATAATCCTTTTATTTTATTCTTTTCCAAAATTTTTAAATATTCTAATTTCTTTACATTTCCATCTAAATTTTGATGTCAGATTCCCTGTGCCCTTAAAATGTACTGCTAGAATTTTTATTGGAACTGTATTAAATCTATAAATCAAATTGGGAAGGACTGACAGTTTTTATATGAACATAGTATACTTCTACATTCAGGTCTGTTTTGATTTCCTTCAGTACCCTTTAGATTGCAGCATACAGATCAGGTGTACATGTATGTTGTATTTATACCTAAGTATCTGTTCCTTTGGAACTACTGTAAATAGTACTTATTATTCCATGTTCCTATTGCACATTGCTAGACAGTGGTTTTTCAGTATCCACAAGAGTGGTTCCAGGAGACTCAACAAATACCAATATTCACAGATACTCAAGTTCCTTTAAAAATGGCACAGTATTTGTATACAAGCTATTCACATCCTCTTGTATATTTTAAAGTATCTCCATATTAGTTATGATACCTAAGACAATGTAAATGCTATAAAAATAATTGTTATATTATATTCCTTAGGGAATATGACAACAAAGGGCTTGGTTCAGACACATGCTTAGTTCAGCCACAATTTCTTTCCACATACTTTTAATCCATGGTTGGTTGAATCTGCAGACAATGGACCTGAAGAAATGGAGGGCCAAATGTACGGAGAATTAAGACTGGGATGGGGATGGGGGTGTGTGTGCGTATCTTATATCCTGTGACCTTGCTAAACTCTAGGTTTTTGAAGATTCTTTGGGACAATCATGTTGTCTGTCAATGGAAACAGTTTTATTTCTTCTTTCCCAATCTCCTCCTTTTTTATTTCCTTTTCTTGCCATATTAATGCTGACCAGGATTTTCTAGTAAAATACTGAACTGGAGAGAGGTTAAGAGTAGACATTCTTGCTTTGTTCTTGTTCATGGAAGAAAACTTTCATTCCTTCACCATCAAGTATGATGTTAGCTGTAGTTTGTTTTGATTATGATTTTCCTTTTATGAACAGTGGAATTTAATTTGCTATTTTTTTTGAGGATTTCTGCAATGTGTTCATGAGGTAAATTGGTCCATAGTTTTCTTTTCCTTTGTCCTTCCTTTATTGTTTACTGTTTGTCTGGTTTACATAATCAGGTTAATTCTGGCTTCATAAAGAAGGGTGGAAAGTGTTTCATCATCTTCTAAGTTCTGATCCACTGAACCGACTGCTTCCCAGTGTCATTGGTCTGGTTTTCCCACTATTAACAGGTGGGGAAAACATCGCACTGCAGTTCAGCAGGTCGCTCAGCTCCTTGCTGGTCCCTATCGCGGCCATGCGCTGTTGTTGGGGGGTCATCTTCAGCCTCTTCTTGCAGGTCCAGCCTCCAGCGAAAATTCCCTCAGGGTGCATACGGGCAGGCTCAGCGGCCGCCTTCCTCCGGGCAGGTTGCGGTCCCCCCACAGAACTTGTGGGTCTCCTCAGGCGGACATTTTTTTCACTGAGGGGCCTCCTAAATTTGCTTTTTACAAGCAGAGAGTTTCAGATCTGGTCAAAAAAATTCAGCTGTAAACATTCATACAGGATATTCCTAAAATAAACACACTCAGGAAAGTTTAAAATAAAGGAGTGAAAAAAATTTTGCCAAATTCTTACAGATTGCAAGATTAATATCAGACAAAAAAGAAATCAAAGCCAGTCGTGAATCTTTAAGCACCTAACAGCTTTGAAAACTAGAAAGCTAAAATTGACAGAACTACAAAGAGAAATTATAGATGACTAAACCTAAACTTCAGCGTATTTCTTTCAGAAAGCAACAAATTTAGTAAACAAATAGAATATATATCCTTTTCAAATACCTTTGGAATACTAAGAGTGACTGGACATTAAGACCACAAGGAAAATTTCAATAAATTCCATCAAGCAGAATAAATACAGGCCACAGTTATCAACCATGATATGGTATAAGTGGAAATTAACATAAAGATAGCAAGAAAAAAAATCTACAAATCTGGAAATTCAATTATTTTTCTGAGACTTTTGGCTTAAATTAGAACTTAAAACGGAACCTTCTAACCATTTAGAAATGAACAATGAAAACATGTATCTGTTATTAAGCTGTTCTCTTAGCTCCAGACCACCGTTCACCCTCTGCTTTGTGATGTTGGAGCTGGAACTCATTAAGGACTTTCTGCTTGACAGCAGCTTCCACTGGGCAGTGCCAGTAGTGGGCACTAGGGGGAGACAGCAGAGATGGAGAAGGGAGGAGAGACCATTCTTCTTCCCATTTGCTTTCACCACCCAGCAAGGGTTCCTCACCCTGGCGCCAGAGGCCGGTTTCAAGCTCCCCTATTTTCTGGCAGTCACAGATCCCACCTCACTGTGTTCCTTCAGAGACAGGAGCATCAACTGGGTAGCAGCTTTTCCTCAAGCTCTGAGCCCAGACCCGGAAGACCCTTCCCATGCCTGAGGTCCCAGCAGCTGCTGGGTAGTATGTTCTCTAAAGCTGGAGTCCCATGTCCACCAGGGTTCATCCTTTCTAGTGTGACATTATAAAGTATGTATCTGGTTCTCCATTTCCATGCGTGCAACTCTTAAAATTCCAAGATCTCCAAGATCTCTTTTGTATTTTAATAAGTTGAATGACTGATGCTAGGTAGATGTCAAGATGGCAGCTGGCCACTGGAAAGTCCAAGATAGGATTAGAGGGATGAGACTTTCAGTGCCCCTGCTTCCATCTCGGGAAGGACTGAAGGTTAAGCTGACCACCAATGGAGATGATTTGATCAATTGTGCCTATGTAATGAAGCCTCCCTAAAACTTCAAAAGGTCAGGGTTCAGAGAGCTTCTGGGTAGCAGAACACATGAAGATTCCTGGAGGGTGGTATGCACAGAGAAGGTAGACAAGCTCTGTGCCCCTTCCTGTACGCCTTGTCCTATCCGTGTCTTCATCTGTATCCTTTGTAATGTCCTTTATAACATGTAGGAAAATATAAGTAAAATGTTTCCTTCAGTTCTGTGAGCAAATTAGTCAAACTAGAGGAAGGGGTAAAAACCCTGATTCATAGTGGTTTTTCACAGGTAAAGCAACTGGGGCTTACAGTGGACATCAGAAGCGGGAAAGGGATAGTTTTTTGGGACAAAGTTCTCAACCTGTGGGATCTGATACTATCTTTAGGTAGACAGTGTTAGAACTGAATTGAATTAGACAGTACCCAGCTAGTGTCTGCTATAGAATTGGCTGATTGCTTGGTTTGTGGGGAAACACAGAAATATTTTATGTTGACTGCCGAGGGAGAGAATAGGAAAAGCATTTGGTGTGGTTCTTCCCATTCGCTCTCTAGTTCTGTTTTCCTAGGCCCCATGGTATTAGCTGCTCCTGCAGTTACTGCCACTGTTACCTTAGTTTTCTTTTTGCTGTTAGCCCTGTATGTCACATATGTATATCACTGTGTAGTACCCATGTTCCCTCTGGTCCCTTTACCATTTTGTGCACCCAGATTCACAGTGTGCTCTCATTTCTAGCAGCCAGCATCTTGCCTTTGTCTATGTGTCCAATGTCAGTGGTGCCTGGAAATTTTTGTCTCCCCAAGGAAACTGTTAACTTTTTTTTTTTTGGTACCAGGGATTGAACTCAGGACCTTGTGCTTACAAGGCAGGTGTCATGCCACTGAGCTAAATCCCTGGCAAAACTATTAATAAATAACCATTAAGGTATTAATGCTGCAGCTCCTTTACCTATGCTTGGGATGACTGAGAGGTGTGGCTTACACGGTCTCCAGAGCGTCTCCATGGGAGCGTGCCATGGTCACCCTCCAGGGACTAGCTTGACACCACACCCTGTTGGCCTCCATCCCTTCCTGGTCTCACAACCTCACTTCCTTCCCAGTTTTCCTTGGAAATCTCTTCCTAATAAACTACTTGCGCACAAATCTTCCTCTTAAAAGTCCGTTTTGAGGGAATACACGAGTAGTGAATCTCAACATTGTATTTTTATTGAGATGTTTTTGTGACTTGACCCTGACTGATAAAAGTATATTAGTCAAATCTGAGGGATATAAACAAAAGAGAATTAAAGAGGCAAATTTATAGTATTAAACATATTTGTGAGAAAATAAGAAAGACTGACTTAAATCATCTAAGTTTTCAACAAAAGCTAGAAAAAGAACTTAAACCTAATAGGTGTGATGGAGTCAGAGAGCACTACAGGGACGAAGGACCCTGCAGGGTGAAGTCTTGGACCCTTCACCTGTTACTCATTAAAAACTGTGTTTTCTTCTGAGGCAGACAGGGACTTAAAAGCATTTATTGCTAAAATATATGACTCTTCCCTTGAGTCTACAAATGCTCACTAGGTAACTAAAAGGAGAACCAAGATCGACCATCATTTTTGTATCCTTTATTACTTTAAAACTTTGGATATAGCCAACAGAACAGTTTATTAGCCCTAAACTTATGTAGCCTATCTCATCCCCCTTCAAGATGGAAGACACCAAGATAGGAGAAACTACAGTAATTTTCAAGATTCACAGGGACATTCAATTACCAGCTTTTACAGAGTCCAGTTCCAGATCCTTCCCCCTTAGAATGACACCTAAAAGTCTCTAGCCATTGTCCTGAACTGGTGGTCACCTGGGTCCCAGAAAAAATAGACACAAAGTAAGACAAACTGTCAAGAAGACAATCATTTCATAGTGAGGCAGGAGGCAGAGAGGAGAAATTTCTGAAAGAAGGGGGTCTGAAGGCCAGAGGAAAAAGGAAGCTGGTTTTCCAAAAACCAGAGTGCCCAGTTCTGACAGCTGGACCACAGCTGTGAAAGACAAGGTGCATGCACTTAGGCTTCGGGGGGGAACCCAAGAGAAGCTCTTTAGAAATCAATGTGCCCACCTTTAACAATTAAGCCATGCCTGAGGACACATGTGCTACTTGTTTCAGTTCTCAACAACCGCAAGTGACCCCAACTCAATTATAATAAATTATAATCTCCTTTACACTGTGGTTTGAATCCCCCCCCCCCCACACTCATCCCTGCTGTGGGCTCTGAGCACTATGACATTTCCTAAAAGGTTCTTATAGCGACAAACACTTCCCCTTCCATCAGAAAAGAAGAGACTTGTCCCTGATTGGAGTGAATTGCCATGCCAGTTCGAAGAGCTACTCCCTCCCTATAAACATACATATAAACGATTGATGGCAAATCTTTTAGAACTTTCAATGATACAAAGAGCCTGCTGTGGCATACCTGCCATAGGTTCGCCACCACTAATATAGACTCTGACACCTGGCTTCTTTGGGGACGTGAGCTTTTTTCAATGGCTCACTCCAACCCTTAGGAGCATATCCTGACTATTTTAATAATCTATGATTTCACTTATACTTGTGTGGCCTGCTCAGTTCTTTGTTCAGGATACCAAGAATCCAGGACAGTCATAACCTCCGGTGACAACAGGAATGGAACCACTCCTCAAACCATGATTCTTCCAGAGCTACAAAACCAGGGCTGATAATCCTTAATACTAGTCTCCTGCATTTTGTGGGTGGGCCAATCCGATCTTTGCATCAGACTGTCTATGCTCCAGCTACTACTCAAGCTGTAGTCCTTTCTCTATCTTTTCTTGTACTTTCCGATCAATGCTTTTTCCTGTAAATTCATACTATCACTTTAGTTTTAATTTCTATTATCACTAAAGCAAAAATTCACACTAGCCAGTGAGAAGTGCAGACATTAATGCACAAGAAAAACTTATCAATAAAACCTAAGTCACCCTTTTGAAGAGATTACTGAAAAATATTTGACAAGTACAGAATTTACTATAGTTGGCTCAAGAAATAAGAAAACTGGGCTGGGGATTTAGCTCAGTGGTTCTGCTGCCTGCCTCACAAGCCCAAGGACTTGGGTTCGATCCCCAGTACCGGAAAAAAACCCAAAAAACAAAAAACAAAACCAAAAAAAAAAGAAATAAGAAAACTTATAGATCAATGGCCACAGAAAAAATTAAAAAGATATATACAAAGAAGCACAGTCCAGATGATTTTATGGGAAGTTCTTAACAGACCTTCAAAAAAAGGGAAAATACTTATTTGACAAAGTCAGCATAACACTGAGACTAGGAAAACACAAAACCAAATAATGTATGTGAAAGTGTGAAATAAAATAATCGCAACTAGTGGTACTAGGGATTGAACCAAGGGGGTTCTCAAAATTTTGAGATACTAAGTCACTAATTTGCCTAGTCTTGGCCTGAATTTACGATCCTCCTGCCTCAGCCTCCCGGGAGTACTGGGATTACACCCATATGCTACAGTGTCCGGCTGGGCCAAAACTCTTGGAGCTCATCTTCCTCACTTACCTCTTCAATGAGCTGCAGACACCCTGTCAGAGTGCTGTTAATCTTATTGGACAGTTCCAACTGTGCTTTCTTTTCTTCCTCTTCTTCTTCAATGCTCTTCCAGAATGAAATATTCATTTCCTCTATTACTTTTTTTGTGGTTTTAAGTTCCATAGGAGGCCGTTTATAGATTTTCCCCTTAGATTTCTTCCATTCTTCTAGCTGTTTCCTGTTATGCAATTAAAGGGAGGGGGGAGAATGGCTTTAGTTTTTTTCTTTATACATGGTCTAGCTTCTAAAGTATATGATATGCAATGATCAGTTATAACTAAACCTTCAATTATAGAAAAAGTCAAGAGATTAAAGAACAATTTCAAAGGCTGAGGTAGGAGGATTGCCATGTGTTTGAGGCCAGCCAGAGCTACATAGTGAGTTCAGTACTAGCCTGAACAACACAGTAAGACCCTGTCTCTAAAACAAAAACAACAAAAACCCCTAGAGGCAGATGTTTTAGGATAACTAGGGTTATAGATAACAAGATAGTAGCCAGCACTTTAGTCTTCAAATACCCTAGTTTCATGATCATTCCTCATTATTTTTCCCAGACCCACTCCCTCTGGTGCTCCATTTCTCCCACTACAAACTTGTTACCTGTCATTCAACCCACACCCAGCCAAACAGCATCTGCCCTCATTGGGTCTCTGTGCTCAAAGTGATCAACTTCACTCAGTTCCTTAGCCCTCTCCTGACTACACACAACTGCTTTCCTTTCAGAAACTAGATCAATAATTTCAGGGCTCTTCTTTTAAGTAGCTGGTCGTGTAAAGTCCTAATCTTTGCTGTCTTCCACTATTCATATTCTCCACTTTTGTTTCTCAGCAGGCACTAGTCTACATTTTGGGAGCAGAGGCACCAAGACTTGTGGACCAATGTTTAGATATAGGCCGCCTAGTTTTTTTAAATTGTAACTATGTATTAATGATTTGGAAGTGTATACGAAAACCTAGATTTCTTCCTGGAGCCTCAAACTTTGTAAAACCTACTGCTTAGTTGCTATGTTTTGATGTCTCATAGATGTCTTAAATTTAATATTATCCCAAACAAAGTTCTTCATTTTCATGTCCAAATCTGTTTCCAGTTTACTTTGAAAAATACATAGTATCCCAGTCTACCTAGTTTCTAGGGCCTAAGCCTAGGAGCTGTCTTTGAGCTTTTCCTTTCTTTCTCTCATGCCTACACATCACTGAAAGGTCCAGTGTTGCTTCTGTCTACACTACCACCATGCTAACCCACACCCTTGTCACCTTTGCTGGAAAAGCTGCAGCAGCCTCCTAGTCATCTCCTGGCTTCCACTCTAACCTTATCAAATTTACTGCATAGTAACTGACCTATAAAATGTAAAGCAGACTGTGTCACTGCTGAGGAGTTCCCAAGACTCCTGGAGTGAAATTCAAAATGTTCTCTATGGTGAAAAGCACAGTCTAATCTGGCTCCTGCATAGTCTCCAACTTCATGCCACCCCACTCTCCCTCTCACTCAGTATCTTCAGGAGCTCTGGCATCATTTCAGTTTCTTAACTCACGCTCATTCAGGGACTTCCATCAGTCATCTGCTCAAATGACATTTTCTTGAAAACTAATTATCTATCATTTTCCTGTCTAATGTAATCACGTGTTGATCTTCTGTCTCCTCCACTAGAACATAAGCTCTATGAAAACAGAAATAGATGTCCAGCGCCTAACATTGTGCTTGGCACACATGGCTAGTCAACACACGTGGTAAGATTCACCATTGGTAAGTCTGTGATTCTGTGTATATAAGTGCACCAAGTCATGTAACCATAACTATAATCAAGATGTGAACCTGTCCTAAAACCCTAAAAAATTCCCTCATGCTAACTGGTAGTCAACCCTGTCTCTAACCCCAGCTCCTAGAAATCACTTGTCTGCTTTTGTCCTTATAGTTTTGCTTTTTTCCAGAATGCTGGTAAGTAATTTTTAGTACATGAATGCCATTAGCTCTTTTGGTTCTTTCCCTTTGACTTTTGAGAACAATTCATTCAGGGCTTATTTCAGTCCTGATTGTTCCTCACTCACCCCTTTACTCCAACTACTTAATGATAGAAGTTGGGACATCTGACATGTGTTTCTTCCAGTTCCTGGTAATCTTCCTATCTCATTCTTCCTTTGAGTCATACATGAAGAGAGAACCTTCCTTTTCTAAACTCAACTTACTCCTAGGACCTCAATATCATTTTATTTTTCTAATATTCTCCATATACACACCAAACCGCAATCTCCAGAAGGGCAGAGACTGACTGTGTTTTCCCTACTCCACCTAACACCTGACATACTGGAAGCACGATGGAACACCTGGGGCGTCAATGATTTCCACAGACTCTCTCCCTTTTGTATCAAATATGTTCAGCATGCCACACTGTCTGATGACCACTCTGTTGTCTGACCTAGACTGGAAAGTCACTTCCTCGCTCACCATCTCAGGGTCTCTCCACTCACTTTTCTTTCTGCATGGAAGGGTTGTTCTTGTCATCAGTCTTAGGTTTCAGTTCAGATGTCCCTGTTGAAAGTACTTTGCCTGAACCTCTGTCTAAATTGGCCATCCTGGCCCTACCCTCTTAATCACATCATTGAATTAAACTAATTTCTGTTTCTGCAAGAGGGCAAAGAGCTCGATAGCAGTGTTCAAGGCTAACTTTGGATATAAAATCCTGCCCTCAATTCACCCACACCCACACCTTCCAGGTCTCCATAAAATCTATATGTTCCTTCCCCCTTGACAGGAATCTCCTTCCTTTCTACCGCAGTCAGGTATGCCTAGGTGATTCTCTTGGGAGGTTTACCTACATTGTGAAACTATGTCTAGTCTTGGGTAGAAAGCATACAAAATCCTTTGGCTCATGTGTCAAAATCCTTTCAAACTTCCTGAGTATTAATAATAAGCCCCAGCAACCTGATATCCTGATTTTCATCATCTCAACACTAGTAATTGCTCCTTTCTGCTTTAGCTTACTTTCCAAAACTTGGCTCACTCCGACTCATGGAGTCTGTTTCCTGTTTCTCCTTCCCTGATAACTTTACTGGACCCAATCACTGGTCTGCTTGGCAAGGGACAACCATCTTCCTAGTTCCTACCTCTGTGCACTCACATCCTGACTCCTAACCTGTCCTGTTCTACTGCTCTTCAGTACTTCTTGAGTATACTACATCAACAGCCCAATTTCTTACTCATACGTTCTCTGTATTTCAATTTCTTTTAAAAAACAATTTTAAGCATATAGAAAGCTAGAGAATGATTTATAACACATGTATGTATCACCTAGCTGTCCAGTCTTAATATTTGTTATAGTTGTTTCAAATATTTTTCAGGCAGTGGCTAAGAATTACTTAGGAGCTACTATTTATGACCTGTTTCCTAACCAAGGATTCTTTTTTTTTGGTACCAGGGATTGAACTTGGGTCCGTGCGCTTGCAAGGCAGGCAGCGGGACCACTGAGCTAAATCCCCGGCCCTCTAACCAAGGATTCTTGATAGTCAATTTGCCCAATTATTTTAAGTTGTAAAACCTTGGGATTAAAACAATGTACCTTCGATCCTCTGCTGTTGTCATTTTAATATTTGGATTAGTTTGGGTAGCATTTGGGACTCCTCTCCCATTTCTAGTTGTGACACTAGCTTGAGTTTTGGGAGCTGTCTTGCTCAGGAAATGCTTCTGCGGAACAGTCTTTTTCAACTTGGGGTCCAAAGTCTGTGCTCTCTGTTGAAAGCTGTTGGTTCTATTTGCTGTTATGCTAGGAGTGCTTGGAATGACTGAGTTAAAGTTGCCAGCTATCAAATTAGGCCTCTGGTTTACGGATTTTGATTTTTGCAGTACACATATCTGGGGCCTAAAACAAGGCTGCATGGACTTCTGATCTTGCTTGATGTTTGGATGTTTGCTGTTAGGTCCTCCCTGCAGCAAACTGAGGTATGTCTTGGGTTTGGCATGTTTTACTTTCTCTTCGGTAACAGTATATAATTGTACCTTAGTTTCTTTTGGTTGTTCATATTTACCCCTATCAACCTTTACATCCTTTATACTCTTGTCCACTGGTTTTTTTGATGTTTGAGTTCTACTAAAGGTCTGAATAAAGTGAGAGGGGACTGTCCTTGGGGGTTTTTCTGGTCTTGCAAGGTCTGTTCCTTTAGAGAGTTGCTGTAATTGTGCCGGTACAGTCCTTATTTGTGTTTTTCTAACAAATTGTTTATTATTAACCCTATCTTTCAGAACAGCACCATTCACCAAACTTTTGCCCGAGACTTGTTTAGGAGTCAAATTGCTCTTAGTTTGATTATAAGAGTTAGTCTTTGCCTTACTTGTGGTACATAATGCAGGATCTGGCTTCTTCTCTGGTTCTGATAAAGTTTGAGGCAAGTTCTCTTTGCTCAGCTCTTTAAAAACGCTATCCAAAGATTTGTTTTCAACATAGTTATTATCCACAGAGTCTGTACATTTTGCATTTGCTTGGCCTGTTAGCTGCTGCTTTGTAGTTTTTGGTTTCTGTGCAATAGGCAGCCTCATGGATTTTCTTGACAGTTCTCTTTTAGCAGATGATCCAGCTTCATGTTGCTGGTGACTCTTGTTGGAAGGTTTACATTTTGGGTTAGAAGAAAAACCTCTTGAAGTCAGACTTTTGCCCACAAGTTTTGGTGCCTCCAACTTTGGCTTCTGGGATCCTGTTATATTAGCTGGTCTGGACTGGAGTTTAATGCTAATGGGCCTTGTAGCTTTGACAGACAAAACATCGTAGTTGAAAACATCGTTTTTGGGTTTAATGGTCTGAAAGGACAAAAAAGAAAAAAAAAAAGCTCACAGTACCAGTCAAGAAAAAAAAAAAAGCTGTATTATGGGCTAAAAAAGCCAAAACCTATCTTGTCCCTGGAGATCACCCATGAAATAGTAAATTGGTGGGAGATACTGGGAGGCCTGAGATACACTGTGTCATATTGCAGGAAAAATCTAGCATCTCAGCAGAAAGTCATCTTTATGAAGTCAATCAGGACAAGATTTTAAGGTTAGATTTTTCATGATTAATAAGTGTTTTAGTTATGTGATTTAATTTAATTTTTTAATTTTTTTTTGGTACCGGGGATCGAACTCGGGTCCTTGTGTTTGTAGGGCAGGCGGTGGAACCACTGAGCTAAATCCCCGGCCCATGTGATTTAATTTTAGATAAGGGAGAAGCAGGTCATTGGAAACTTTGAAACCTAGGGCAGGGAATTTAGAAATGATATCATAAATTCAGGAGCAAGCCACCATGGATTCCAGAGCTTCTGAGGTGAAAGAAATTACTTAGGAGAATTTGGCATATTTAAGAATATGTCTCCAAGGGAAGATATGGAAATGTTAGAGTTACCACTTTGTATTTTTGATTTGATAATGTTGTAAAGAAGTAAACTTGGTGAGGAAAATAAAAAGGAAATCTGTAACCACATGCCCATTTGGACAAAAGTATCAGTGCATGAGGTGCTACTGAGGGTGGGATAGGGAGGGTTGGAAGCGGAAGGTAGAGAGGTGGATGGTAGACCATGGAGCTGTGTCTAGGTTACTTCTCCACGCCGACACTTATATGTAGCTCAGATCTCCACATCATAGCTTACTGAAGAAGTGGGGATGTTGGTAAGAAAGCTTCCAGATTTGGCCTATTTTTTTGTAGTACTTACACATTAAAAATATTGAGAGGGCTGCAGATGTAGCTCAGTGGTGCTGCACCTGCCTGGCAAGTGCAAGGTCCTGAGTTTGAACCCCAGTATCAAAAGAAAAAAAAACCTGAGATATAATTCATATATCATAAAACTCACCATTATTAAGAATACAAATCAGTGGGTTTTTGCATATTCACAAAGTTGTATAATAATTACTGCTAGTCAGTGGCAGAACATTATCATTGTCCCAGGAAGAAATCTGGTATTTGTTAGTAATTGGTCCCCCTTTCCCTCTCCTGGCAGCCCTTGGCAACTTCTAATCTACTTTGTTTCTGTATCTCTACAGATGTACCTATTCTGGACCTCTTACATACATGGAATCATGCAATATATAGTTTTTAGTATCTGGCCTCCTTTACTTAGTATAATGTTTTCAAGATTCTCCCAAGTTGTAGCATATAACAGTGATTTTATCTTAAAGAAAATTTAATAAAATTTAGTTTTAGAGAAGTCTTAGGTTAACAGCAAAACTGAACAGAAAGTACAGTGGGTTCTCATATATCTGTTCCCACACATACACTTCATTATTGTTTAGGGTTTAAAATTCACTTGTGCAATTATATACATTTTAGCTTTCCATTCATCAATGGATAGACATCTACCTTGCTTATATTGGGATTTTGAATAATGTTGCTATAAATACTTGTATATGTTTTTATGAATATATATTTTCAATTTCCTTGGGTATATACCTAAAAACAGAATTTCTGGGTCATACGACAAACCTATATTTAATTTTTGAGGAACTGTCAAACTTTTCCAAAAGTAGCCGCACTAATTCACATACTCACCACAATGTATGGTGATTCCAATTTCTCCACATCTTCCCTAAGACTTGTTATCTATCTTTTTAATTATAGCTATCCCAGTGGGCATGAAGTAATATCACACTGTGGTTTTAATTTCCCTGATGGTTGTGTATTTCATCATGTCTTTATCTTCTTTGAGAAATGTGTACTGAGATTCTTTACTCATTTTAAAATTGGATATTTTTTAAATTGTTAAGTTGTAAGAGTCATATACCCTGGATACTAGATTCTTATCAGGTATATGATTTGCAAATGTTTCATGTTATACCTTTTTTCTGTTGTTTTTTTTTTTTTTGTACCGGGGATCGAATTGGGGTCCTTGCACTTGCAAGGCAGGCGGTGGAACCATTGAGCTAAATCCCCAGCCCCATCTTATACCTTTTTTATATCTTGATTTTAGATCAGCGTGACCTAGCTAACTTACAGGTAGTAGGGCAGGTCATACTGTTGCAAGAGCTTCCACTGAGAGAGAAAAACTGAGCTTAGAAGAGTTATCAGGTTGGCAACTGATATGCAAACACAGAAAGTTAAAACTGGGAAAGGATTTTTAGAGATCATTAAACTCAGACCCTTCATTTGAGAAACTGAGGTGTACAAGACTAGGCAGGGAGTCAGAGGCTAGGTTGGACCTGGAACTGTAGTCTCTGAACCTTGGTTTCTGGCTCTTTGTCTCTCAATCCACCGTAGAACTGATGGACCAAACTGAACAAAAACAGATAATATATACAAGGAGGAGTGATTGATTCCAACTGAAGTTCTTTCTTCATTCTGGGCATATGAAGTGTGAGAAGGGAGAAGATTTACAAAGGATATTATGAGGATTTAAATCAACAGAGATTTACTGAATGTTGACTGCATGATAGGCACTGTGCTAGACTCTAAGGCGACACAAGATGTGGTCATACTTGTTCCTGAGTACCTCTAGTAGAAAAGATATAAACAAAGGAAACTATAAAGCAATGAGATAAGGGGCATTATAGGGCTGGAAGGGGTTATCAGTGGTTTTCAAACATTTTTATTCATGTACTCCCAGAATAATTTTGATGAACTCTGTACACCAGAAATTAGCTCATGTATTCAATATTCTTTATTGCTATAATGAGAGAGGGCTGTGCATCATTTTATTTCTTTTTTTAATAAGTAGGTAGGACTAGAAGGTGTTTTGTTATAGCAGTAACATTCCATTTTTTGAGCTTCTTTGAAAATCTCTCGGCCAAAAATAACTTTCAGGGTTTCACTAGATGACAATGTTGAAAGCAAAGAACTGAAAACCACCTGAATGGCAAAAGGCTTTCTCACCAGCAATCTCATTATTTCAAATTGTCCCTTGGTTTTGTACTCTGGTGGTATTTCCATCCTAGGCTAAAGTAGCATATTAAGTTAGGGATGAGATGGGTGAGTGATTTGCCTATGCTGGGCAAGAAAAGAAAGAATTGAAAAGAGGAAGGGCAAAAGTGCTAAGGGAAGTAGGAAAGGAGAAATTGCATGTGTGGCATATTCTTATATCAATTTTAGGTCAGTGCATATAAAAAAGTTGAAGATCTGGAAATGATTCTGTTAAAATGTGTGCCTGCATACCTATTATGTACCTCCAGGACACATACCCCAACCTGCCGGCATTAGTGTTTCAATATTTATTGACTCAATTCTTTTACACAACTCCAAGAGCTGTCTCCTATTACTCCCATTTTACAGATGCAGTTAAATAGCTTGTCTACGGTTACTTAGTTCTAAACTGGAGTTAGGATTTGGATCTAGGCAGTTAGGAAATTACATGAATTGTAACAATGACTATTACTTGCAGTTCGTTTAGTTTCTCTTAAATTCTGAAATTTCCTTCTCTTTTATTTTTATCTTTAGAATTGTGTAAGGCAGATAATGCAAGTGTTGCCCTCATTTAAGAGACGATTTACTAAAGTCAAATTGCCAACTCTGACTGAGGAACTTTTCCAGCAGATTTTTTTCCTTTAAGACTTGCATCCTAGTGGGGCGTGGTGGTGCATGTTTGGGAGGGCAAGGCAGGAAGATCACAAGTTTGAGCCCAGCTTGGGCAACTTAGAAAGATCTCAAAATAAAAACATAAAAAGGCCTGGGGATGTAGCTCAGCATGAAGGCCTTGGATTCAATCCCCAGAATTAAAAAACAAAACAAAACAAAATAAAACAAAACAGCCAAAACCAAAAACAAAAGACTCACATCCTACACTGGTACAATCTGCATAAAGCAGAAGTCTAACCAAGTGCTTCCCTACTGTTTACATCATTGCACACTAATTTTGCCTTATAAACATATTTTATCTTTCTGTGTCTAAGATGTCATGCATACACATGGTACATAATGTCCCTATGTGCACATGCATGCCCATATATATATACACACATTGTAGTGTGTGTGTGTGGTGATTGAATCATTAAAACTTGTAAAACTGGCACCAATATCTCACTTTGGGCAACACAATTTCAGTCCATCTTAGAACTCTGGTAAAACTACTGTTTCAAAAATCAGAAATGGGATTTTATGGATAGCATTATTTATTTTATTGCAAATGAAGAATTTACATCCTTTTCAGAAGGCCAATTTCTCTGACTTAAATCTTAAGAATGACAGGATTTTTTTTTTTGGTACTGGGGATCAAACTCAGGACCTTGTGCTTGTGATGCAGGCGCTGGCATCACTGAGCTAAATCCGCAACTCAAGAAGGACAGAATCTTTTCCATTTTGCCCACAATCTAGCTATAATGAACTGATTGGGAAGTGTATTTTTGTTGAATAGCTTGGAAGATCCAACACAGGTATTTACTTTATGGTACAATACCGAAGTGGTTAAGATCATGGGCTCTCAATGTTGTTGTTACTTAAGAGATACATGACCTTGGAATGAAATTTAAGCTTTCCATGACTCAGTTCCCTCATCTGAAACATGGGGCTACTAATAAAGAGTCTCTACCCTTCATAAAGTTGTGAGGACTTGGAGGGTTAATGCAAGTTAGAAGGTGCCAGGCACACAGTAAATAATCAATAAATGTTAGGGGCCGAGGATTTAGCTCAGTGGTTCTGGTGCCTGCCTCACAAGCTCAAGGTCTTGAGTTCAATCCCCGGTACCAAAAAAAAAAAAAAAAAAAAATTAGGCTGGGGATTTAGCTCAGTGGTTTTGCCACCTGCTGCACAAGTGCAAAGACCCGAGTTCGATCCCCGGTACCAAAAAAACCCAAACAAACAAAAAATAAATGTTAGCTATCAAGAGTCTACTTAAGGGTTTTTTGGTTATAAAATAAACTATGTTCTTTTGTACTTTTCAAAAAATGTCTGTTCCTTACTAAACCCAACTGCTGTTATATTTATGAGAAATATTTTTTCCTTTCCCCTACACCTCCCAGTTTCCCTTTTCCTTTAGACATTTTCTTCCTATTTTACATTATCTATTATACATTTTGGTCCTTATTTACACTCTCAGTTTCTCATATCAGAGAAACTATTTGGTATTTACACGTGTGTCCTCTCTATTTCACTTAAGACTATGGCCTCAGTGTGCATCCATTTAGGTATCAATCTAGATATTTCTTTGAAACCTAATTTCTACTTACAGATTTAGATGGAGGTGGATTTGGACAATTATTCTTGGCTTTTAGATAAGGCCTATAAAAGAAAAAATAAAATTAATCCTTAGTACAGAACCAACAAAGCTTGGAAAGTATGGTGATTAAGAATTTTGATTAAAATTTTAATGCTTTAGAATTTCTGTATATGGTAAAGTAATTCAAAACTATATTTAATAAAAGTTTCCCTATTATACCTTCCTTAGTTCTGTATTTTCCTGGAAGCCATTGCTTTGTGATTCTTTCAGAGATATCCTGTGCATATATGAAGCATTCTAACAGTATTAGTGAGATACATGTGGATTTTGTAGTCTTATTCATTTAAACATCATTCCTTCAATACTGTGATGTGGTAGATACTGGAGATAAGACAATGAACTGCTTCTTTAAAAAATTTCCTTGTTATACATACTCTTCCAAATAGTAAATTTTCAGGGTGAAAAAGTGATATATATATAATATATATATAAAAAAAATACATGTGAATAAAGCAATCGAAAATGATCAAGAAATTATATATACACGAATCCAGCAAAACAAATGTAACTATTATATATAGCAAACATACACTAATTTAAAAAGGTGATATATAGCTGATCCCTCATATCAATGGATTCAAGATCTGTGATTCTAACCAACTGCTCCAAAATACTTGAAAAATAAAATTGCATATATATTGAACATTATAGACATTTCGTTATTATTCCCTAAACAACACAGTGTAACTACTCCATAGCAGTTACTTTGTATTAGGTGTTACACGCAATCTACAGCTGATTTGAAGCATATGAGCAAGTTACATGCAAACACCATGCCATTTTACAGAAGGGACTTGAGCATCGATGGATTTTGGCATCTGTGGGGAGTCCTGCAACTCATCCCCCATGGATGCCGAGGCATGACTGAAATTAAAAAAATAGGAACATTGCATGAAATCTAGCTAGTGAGATGAAAAGGGGGAAAAAAAAAGAAAAAGGAGGAGAACAGAGCAGAACTTAGAAGGATTTAATCTCCATGAACCAAGACAATTGGTAGACTAACAGAGACTTTGATTATCCAGTACAGGAGGACAGGGATCTTTCTGTCTTATTAAGCACCATAAGCACCCTATGTCCAGCGTTAAAGTGATTGATACACTACAGGTACAAATAAATTTACAAATTGTTTTTTTTCTTTGGTACCGGGGATCAAACTCGGGACCTTGTGCTTGCGAGGCAGGCGGAGGAACCACTGAGCTAAATCCCCAGCCCTAAATTTACAAATTGATACACTACAGGTACAAATAAATTTACAAATAAATATTTGTTGACTAGTTTTTAATTAATTAAATAATTAACTTGGTTTTTCGAGATAGGGTCTCACTATGTAGTTCAGGCTGCCTTGAACTCACTAGGTAGCTCAGGATGGCCTGAAACTCTGGGTATCCTCCTATCTCAGCTTCCCAAGTGCTGGGATTACAGGCGTGCACCACCACACCCAGCAACAATTTTTAATTTAATCAAAGAAACAGAATTGAGTAAAAATCCAAGATAAAATAACGAATAAAAGTTAACTTAGTAAAAATTAATTTTTAAATAAAATTTGAACAACCCAATTGGGAAGAAAATATATCTATGCTAAGCCAGAGGGATAAATAACACCATAATGTTGTAACATGTCCACAAAGATCAGTGAAACAGTTTTGTTTCACCCACCTCAAAAGTAAAAGCTGATAATGATCAAAGAGCATCTTCGGGCTGGAAGGGCTGGAAGATGTCATTGTGCCTCTATGGTGAACTGATAACTGGCTCTGCTACTTTGGCAAGAAACACCAGGACCAGGGTCACTGAACTCCTTAACCAAAAATTGCCTTGAGGAGAATAATTTTTATCCAGAAAAAGAAAGGACAAGAAAAGCTTCCAGCATGGTAGGTAATACTGTCGATTCTTTCCTCTTTCCTTTGGAGAGTGTCATGACAATAACACTTAAATCTCTGCCAACAGATTAGACACTCTCAGTTATTGTCATGTCTGAACTGAAATGCTCTGTTTGAGTTATCTTAGGATTCCTGTGTAGGTTGAGTAGGCTGCAGGCCAAATGGCTATGTTTTGAAAAGGCTTTAAGTTGCTGTTAGCAACAAGGGCAACAAAACTAGCATAACTTTGGGTAGATAAACTCACTTGGTGTTTTGGTTCTTCAGTTTTCCTTTGGCTGCTAGATACTCCTGCAGCTTTTTCTGACGCTCTTCTACAAAACAAGCAAGCAAACAACAGAACTTTAGCTTGAGATTTTAACCAGTTCATTTATATTCTAAAAGATGACACTTTTCTGTAATGATTTTGGCTATGTAGCATGTTATAAAGTCCTCAGTCCTATAAATTTGCCTTCAAGTTAATATCAACATCAATAATACAACTTATAAGCTAGGCCCTATATTAAGCTTACTCACATTACTTCTTTTAATCTACATGACAATCCTATGAGGTATTTTGCAGTCCAAAATTCAGAGAGGGTAAAGGACATGCTTCAAAGTTATCCAGCTAATATGTAGCAAAGCCAGGATTTGAAAACAGGTTTATTCAACCCCAGAACCCTTGTTCACACCCCTTGATTCTAGCTACAAGACACCCTATTTTACATGAAGAAATCCTTTTTTTGGCCCACTTGGGTTGGTGAGCTAGGTCTGTATGAGAATTTTTTTTTACCCATAAACCCTTACACGGTTTCCTTTAGGACTAAATAAAAAGTAGGCCAGGTTAGGGGGCTTATGGCAAACATCTACATAAAGACTTTTGTAAGGGGATGAAAAATCAATACAGGTTGAGCATCTCTTATCTGAAAATCTGAAATCTACAATCCAAAACTTTTGGGGAAGAAAATTCCATACCTGACCTCACATGTCTGGTCCTTGTCAAAGCATGCTAAAAGTACTGTATAGAATTACTTTCAGCATATGTGCATAAAGTGTATATGAAATGCAAATGAATTTCTTGTTGATGTTTGGGTCCCATGTCTGAAATATCTCATTGTGCATGCAAATATTCCAAATCTTTAATCTGAAACACTTCTGGTCCCAAGCATTTCAGATAAGGGCAACTCAACCTGTATTTCTGCCTTCAAAAGTTTCCGCTTAGCAGTGGAGATAAACACAACAGTAATTACAATATAAGGCAAAATCTAGGTGTCACAGGAAAAAGTAAAAAAAGTATGGGAGCTCAGAATAGTGGAATGGTGAGGGGGAGCAGGTGGTTGGAAGAGACTAAAATTATATAATGATTTTTTAAAAAAACAATGCAAAGGTGCAAACTAAACTGTTTTGCTTTTAGATTCCGATGCATCTTTATCAGACAGCTGTGAGAAATACAAAATTAGGTCGGTCCATGCCAGGCAGGGGCTGTGGAGTCCCAGCTCCATGACTTCTACCAAGTTAGCAAACCTCGCTGCCGCTGAGCGGGGACAGAAAGGCCAAGGTTGAAGGGCCATGTAAAATGCCTAGGACGGTGCTCAGGACCCAGTAGACATATTCAGACATAGCGGGCCAGTCAAGACACTGTGCATGCTGAGGAAGCTTGCATCAGAGCAGGGCCCTTAGTCCTCAGAGCAGAATTACCAATCAGCCTCCAGGCGGCATGAGGCTGGTGAGGATGCAGAGTCTCGCACCCTGGCAGAGAATCCGCATTCGGATTCGGATTCCGGGGTAACCCCACCCCACCCCGTCCGCCCACGGTTGCTGTCAAAGTTCAGGCCCAGAGCAAAGGGCCACACCCAGCTCTGCTTGTGGCCAAATTTGCGCCGCTGTAGCAAAGCGCGTTGCTTTTCACAGGCAAGCAGTTTACGGTTCTCGATCTCAAAGGTGGTGACGATGACTTCGTTTTGCAGGGCTTACAGGGGCCCCGCACCGGCGCCCAGCCTGAGATCTGGGTCTGGGATCAACGCCAGGGGCAACTGAGGCAGGCGAGCGAGCAGACAGGCAACTGTCGCGGGAAGGATTCTTGGTGGCCTCTTACTTCCTTGCCCGTGCTCCAGGGCCTACAAGATACAGAGAAGCGGTCATACTCACCCGCAGCGGCGGCGGAGGCAGCGGTGGCAGCAGAGGGCCCCGACCCCACCATGATTCCTCAGCTACAGTTTCTCTTTCAAAGGCCGCGCCAGGAGCCACATCTGCGGCGCGGAGCTTCTGGGCACTCTCATTGGTTCCCGCGGGTTTGAAACTTACCAATAGAAAGCATGAGAGGGCGGGACAACAGGAAATAGATGCTTTATGGTTGGCCCTGAACCTAGGAGTTCCTCCGGGGCCCTCTGACTGGAAGAACGTCAGCGTACGTCAGACGACTTGCTAGGCCGGCTGCTGTTTGGCCTCGGAGGACTCTGGCCCTTTCTGATAAATAATCTCCAGCGGCGGTTGAGATGTTGGTTGCGCGGTGTCCCGGCTGGTGCCGTTTTACGGGAGCGCCCCCTGGCTCCTTTGCCTCAGCCTCTCAGGTGCACAGGAGCTATAAAAACAAAACAAAACAAATCATGAAACACTAAAAAAAGATGAGTTAGAGCTTTGCCACACTATTATACAACTCGACCTGATATATCCAAAGGCTGTTAATTCTTAGTACTGCAGGCGACTCTTTCGTATTTTTAATTATGATGAAACATACAAAATTCATTTTAACTCTTTTTAGAGTTTTTTTCTTTTCATTTTTTTCCCCCCTGCGATACTGGGGATTGAACCCACGTCTTTTGACTGAGCTACATTTGTATTTTTTATTTTTGGCATTAAGTACTTTCATATTGCTGTGCAAATCATTGCCGCTGTCCCCAGAACTCTTTGATCCTTCTGATCTGAAACACTGTATCCATTTAGCACTCACTCCCCATTCCTTGCTTCTGTCAGCCTCTGGCAACCATCATTCCATTTTTTTGTCTGAATTTGAAGAGTTTAGGCCTCATGTAAATGGAATCACAGAATGTGTTCTTCTATAACTGGCTCTTTCAAGGCTTATCAGCGTGGTAGCATGTGTTAGCATTTCTTTCCTAAGGCTGTATAATACATATTCCATGGTATGTACAGGCTACATATATGCATGCCACATTATGCTTAGCCACCAGTTCACAGATGGACATGTGGTTTGCTTCCACCTGGTGGCTGTTGTGACTACTGATGCTGTGAACAAGGGTGTACAATTATCTCTTTGAGATCCTCCTTTCAATTATTTTGGGTATTGTACCAAGAAGTGGTATTGTTGGATCATACGGTAATTTTATTTAAACAATTTTGAGCAACCATCATACTCTTTTCAGGGTGCCTCCCTCTTAATGCACATTTTTCATTTGGCCACCTTAGCTGGAATGGCAGAAGGCAGGCTGAGTTGTCTTGAGTCCAAAGGCTGCGAAACATGAGTCCAGGTGAAGTTGATTTCTCTGTTTCAGACTGAATTGTTTTTTGCTTGAAGTTTGCCTCTTATTTCAGCTATTCTGCAGTTTCATGAAAAGCTCTGGGAAATGCTCTTGGCACCTTGTGTGTCAGGGTGACTCCTTCCTGAGTACTGGAGAGGTGGTGGGTAGAGAGGATCAGTCATATGTGGGCCCTATTTACTAGATTGGCTTCACCAGTTGGACACTTGGCAGGGCATGAAACCACTGTTGCGCCCCCCGCCCCCCTTTGGCCCCAGTAAGGAGTTTGGAAGAGAGCCATACCAGACTTATGGATCTAGACATTTCGACATTTATTACATTAGTAGTATATGACTTTTTAAAATCAGGAAATTATTAGGGAAACTGATAAGGATTTTAGTGAAAATTTTGGACTCTGTCTAGGATCATGACTTTGTGCCTAATGCTTAAATCTAGTTGCTGGGAAGAGCCATCTTTGTTATGTGTATCTTAGTTACTTTCTCATCATTGGGACAGAATACTTGACATCCACAATTTAAAAGAGGAGAGATTTATTTTGGTTCATGGTTCTAGTCTGTGGTTGATTGGCTCCAAGGCACAAACAGAATGGCAGAGGGACATGGGACAAGGTGGAGGAAAAGATGCTGTATCCATAGCAACTAGGAAGAGAGAAAGAGAGGTCAGGGGCAAGAATATACTCTTCCAGGACATCCTTCTAGTGGCTCACCTTCAGTCAGGCCCCACCTTCTAATAGCACATTTGGCAACTGTGTTCATCAATGGAAGAATCTACTGATAAGTATGTTGCCCCATGATCCAATCACCTTTCAAACAATCTCCAGATCCTATCTAGGTATTGCACCTTGGCAGGGGTACTAAAGGTGGCCAGCAGCCTCCCTGGCCTGTTATTGGAGAGCACTGCTCACTATGAAACTTATCTAAGATTTTTTTTTCTTTTCAGTACCGGGGTTTGAACTTGGGTCCTTGCGCTTGCGAGGCAGGTGGCGGAACCACTGAGCTAAATTCCAGGCCCTACTATGAAACTTTTAAAAGGAGCTCAAATAAAGTCCTTGAAGATGAGCTCATTGGTGCTCATCCTTTGGAGAAACAGGTTAGTTCTGCTTCTTTTTCTCTATTCTTTGGATACTTGAGGGTTTTTTTTTCAGTACTAGGAAATGAATCCAGGGAGCACTGAGCTATACGCAGGCCTTTAAAAAACTTATTTATTTAATTGGTTTTCTGAGTCAGAGTAGTAGATTTAGTCCAGGCTGGTCTTGAACTCATTATGTAGCCCAGGCTGGCCTCAAACTCTTGATCTTCCTGCCTCAGTTTCCCAAGTGATGGGATTGCAGGCATATTCCACAATGTCCAACTTGAGGAACTATTTTCTAAGACATACAATGTGGGGGGAAAAGCTGGCATGCTTTAAAATTTTCAACTCATCCAACAGATTATCCATAGTAGAACTCTGGAAGAGGAGGAGGAGGGTAGGTGAGGAGAAGGATCGAAGAGAAAGGGCTCAAGGTTAATCCTTTTTATCAGGAAATGACTTCCACAATATGATAGCAACAACAATCCGTTGTTATGAGCACAGGCCCCTCTAGACCTTGTCATCTCTTAAAGGTCTCACCTCTCAACACTGCTGGATTGGGGATTAAGTTTCCTACACATGAACTCTGCAGGACCCATTCAAACCATAACAGTTATTTGTCTTTTTACTATTGAGTATTCTTAGTTGGTTCTTAATTATCCTTTAGTCTCAAGCAAGGAAACTTTATCTCAAGGAAGCTTTCCTGAGCCTCACTTCATGATTAGCTTGTTTATTTATCTTTCTCCCTGCTATTCTTTTTTTTTTTTGGTACCGGGGATTGAACTCAGGATCTTGCGCTTGCAAGGCAGGTGCGGCACCACTGAGCTAAATCCCTGGCCCTTCTCCCTGCTATTCTGTAAACTGAGCACAGATCATTAAATTGTGTGGCATGAAAGAGGAACTCAGTTATTTGGGTAAATGGAGCTTTCTCCCTTTAGAGACTCTTGTAATACTGTGGCCACACTCTGTAGGAAGTGCAAGCTCACTAATATTACAATTGGTTCTTCTAGCCCATACATCTCCATCTCATCTACCCATATATCATTAGTGACTTTGCTAAATGTCATTGTAAAAAGCAAAATACCACATAATCTAGAAGCTGGAAAGAAGCACGCATGGCTAGGCTGAAGTCACCAAGTATGGCTGACTGACTGGTCAAGAGCCTTACTTGACAGATTCAGGATGTTTACCTTCACCCAAGGCCCAAGCCTCAGTGCTGTGGGTTGGTCTCTTGATTGTGGATTAGCCCCTCAGAGATAAACTCACTAAGGGAAAGCAATAACGGCTACTCTTAAGTGAAATAATGAATCAGTTATCAACTGAACACTAAATCTCTGGTGCTATACAAAGCTCTTTCTGTATTTTATTGCCTTTAATTCCACAAAACTTTGATGTGGAGAAAGTGAAAAGAGCTGAGCTCATTCTTTTGTTAAGAGTCTAATCCCATAATAAGTAACCCATTCTTGTGATAAGAGCATTAAACTATTTATTATTAAATGTAAGTTCTTATCATGGAAGACTTGTTAATCATAAGTCACTTGACTTAACAGCTTTTTCAACTTTATGATAATGTAAAAGTAATATGTGTGGGAGACTGCAATATTGATTATGTCCAAGCAGTCTGTAAGCAGTGCAGGCTATAAAGAGCTAGCCCCACAACTGGCTTGTTTATAGAAGTGAGTCTGGCTGAATCCCACATGCTGAGGTCAGAGTAACTCGCACCCAAATTCTTTTCCCACAATTAAAACTTTCTTAACTAGAAGGACAATGTTCTAATTACAACCATATATTTAGTCTATTCAGTTCCTAATTCAAGAATGCTTTGTCTTTTTTCCTTTACGAGTCTTGCTTACATTAGTTTCCTTAGAAATTGCATTATTGTATACCCTTGAACATAGCTTGCCTTTACCCCAATTGATTACTAATAAAAATCAGTGGCTTGAATGGACTAGCGCCTTTTGCTAAAGTAGCACTGGCCATCCTGGATCCCTACTTTCTGTCTCTTTTAGTTCTGTCTTTTAGTTTTTTTCTCAGGCTTGCATTGTACACTGAGCAGGAGACTGGAGCCTACTGCAGAGGTTTCCAGTAACATTTCAGGTAGTAGCAGCAGCTGCAGCTTCTGTCAGCCATGCAGTCACAAGGGAAAAGAACCAATACTCTACAGGGCACTGTATTTCATTTTTTGACTTATAGTATTTTCATCTTACAATGGGATTCCTGGGATGTAATGCATTGTAATTTGGGAGCACCTGTAGCCATTACTATAGCTACTTTTACAGGTTAGCCCAATGTTATAAAGTAAAGAAGATTTGAACCCAGTACAATATCACAGACTGTCCTTTTATTAAAAATCTCTACAGTATTCTAAGTTTACAAGAGACTGAATTATGAGACAGAAAGCCAAATTCAATTTATAACAGGGCAAAGATTGCAAAAGAGACCAGACATATCCTCTACCCAGGACGTTCTCTTCCCAGGGGCAAATACACAAGAAACCAGGTTATAATTAGAGATTCCTTCAGTGAGTTTGGATCAGAATAAGAGATGTTCTGTATCTGATGTAAATGCTCAATAATATGGACCTGCAATCCACCCACTGGCACAGTAGGGATATAATTGCTAACAGCACTGAACAGATCATCCAGCAAAAATGAAAAACGAGTCTGCAGTGTGACTTGTTCCTAGTGATTGTAGGCTTGTGACTACAGCGTTTTATTCTATGTACTTATAAAACTTCTGTTGAATAATCTTTTCTAAATTATTTCAATACATTCATGTTAAGAACAACTGTAATATCCACAAATCCTCTCTTTTTTGTTTGTAAAAAAAAGTACAAGAGGAAGAAATGACTATACCAGCCATGAAGTAGTGACTAGGAACTATGTAGAAGAAAATCAGCCTGCTTCTTTGTAGAAATGAGAAGGGAGTGTTGCTGTGGATATCAAGGGCTCCTGTTGGGATGCTAGCACCTGAAGTTGGTTTTTAGGGTTCTGAGAAATGAGGGGATATGCCGGGGACAATCTACTCATGTTTTTCTTATTCTGTAGATCTCTCTCATTTGGGTAGAGCACTACAGGCCTTTTGGAAGAGGAAACACCAGGGAAAATACCTACTTTCCAGGCCTCTCAGCTTCTGTGAGAGTATAAGTGAGTGTGAGAAATGGGGACAACTTCTGTTGAATATGCTATTTCCAAATGGGATACACTTATGTCTCTGTGGCTGTTAGAAGGCCTCTTCTGAGTTGATGAAACATGTGTTTTCACTTCTTCTAAGTCTGGATTGACTTGGCTAAATGGAGTCTATTATTAGCCATATGATGAGACTGGCTTTGACACTGGGAACTCCTTAATCCAATATATCTTAACCAGTGGTAAACATGAGAGTTTCCTTTGGAACTAAGGAGAAAAAGAAAAAAGATGCTCAAGGCTCCATTCTAGACTGACTGAATCAGAATCTGCCAGCAGTGAGGCCTGGGCATAGATACTTCTGAAAAACTAATGTTAGAGAATACTAGGCACCCAGAAGACCTCATTTTACCTCCCTCCAGGACACTTGGCTTGTTTGCTCATCAGGTGGGATAAGACCTTTTAGTATTTGCCAGCCACTCTGATATATATATGTAGTTTTTGAAAAGAGAAAACAAAGTTGTTCTTGGTCAGTCTGCTTCCTTAGCCATCATGTCGCCAATAGTATAAAGCAAAATTACTGCTAGCTTTGCATGATATTTATAGCTGTGCTTTCATCCAAGCACATGGAACAACTGGCTGCCTTTTTAAGACAGTGATGAACTTCTGAGTAACATCACTTGCCGTGCACAGGTCTTGATTCTTTAACAGTATTTCTGCATTCTAAGAGATTCATTGCATAAGTTTTTCCTTGTTTGAGAAATCATGAAAAGGGAAATTACTCCCAGACAACATGGCTATTTGACAAAATCTCCACTAGAGAGAAGCTTATCATGTTTTGCTATGGACAGTGAAATTTGAAAGCTGGCAGCTATCAGATGACTTGTGTTAGAAAGATACAAAAACTAAGCTACTGGGAATGATAGTTCCTCAATTTCTCTTTAAGAAACTCTTTCCTTTTAGTTTCACCAACACTTTTGTGTGGTGTCAAAGTGGTGTCTAACACTTGATGTGTGATACACAGCACTTTCGCTATGCAGAAGACATAATGCTTTCCCGTTTTTTCAATCACTCCAAGTGACTCTGTCCAGGCCTCTTGGAATGATCTTCACTATCTGTTTTCAGTTTTGATTTTTTTTGCTGTACTCATTTTTTGGTGTTCAAGATTTGGAGTCTGCAAAAACACAAAATTTTAAAAAATGAAGCACCCAATACAAATCTATCTCTCTATAAAAAAATAGCTTGCATTATTAGTTAACGCTAAAGAATTGGATGTTCCCCGAATCAACAATCTACAGCAGTGATCCTCAGCCAAGGTTCCGCTTGAATTTGCTGACTATCAGCACAAGGGGGCAATGTTCCACTGACCACCAGCTTTTGGCTGGATCTGCAAAAGGCATCTGAATGCATTTCCTACCTTGTGGGGGCTTCTGCTAAAGTCAGAGCCAGTCCAAGGAAATATGTATATGCTTGCTCTTGTTTTCATGAATTCCCCACAAGCAACTAAATATGACGCTGCAGAATCAAATATGCCAGGGAGACAGTACGACATTAAAAGAATCTCAGTCTATTTTTTTTTTTTGGTACCAGGGATTGAACTCAGGTCCTTGCACTTGCGAGGCAGGCGACAGAACCACTGAGCTAAATCCCCGGCCCCTCTCAGTTTATTAATTAGAACATCTCTTTGCTAAATCTTAGATATTAAATTTCAGTTTTTTATAAGAAAACTCAAAATTAAATCTTATGTTAATAAAAATGAATGTATTAAAACTCACAGCCAATCCAAGTAAATCTATCTATCTATCTATCTATCTATCTATCTATCTATCTATCTATCTTTGGCAGTGCAGACCAGCCATGCAAAAGTTTGGACAGGTTGCATTAATGAGTTGCAGCTTGTGATGTCATTGCCTGGCACTATTATTCCTTTCTAAGCATGCACATGGCCCCTATGTGTGGTGTAATCCAATATTTGGCTGTTGGGGTGATGTTGAGGTGACTTGGCTTGCATGCTGACAGAGAAAGCTCTGCTCACTGTGGAATGTGTGCCATAGACTCACCACCACTGGCCAGCGATGTCTGAACAAAAGCATAGCATCCAAAATAAGAAAGAGAAGACCCAACTCTAGGCTGTACTGAGCCGATTGTATCATGAGTACTATTCTCAATTCTGGGCAACAAATTTTATGAAAGATATTAATAAACCACTGTTGGTCAAGACTCATGAGGACAATCTTGAAAAATGTACTATACAATCAAGAAATAGCTATAGGTACACAAGAACATTTTATACCCATCACAATAATTATTGCTATCCCAACAATTCTATCACCTCCAAAAATTCAAGTGTAGGAATTTTCAAATGTCAAGAGGAGAGGTGACTCAGTGGGAGGAAAGTTTTTACTTTTGTATTGTATACTTAAAGGTAGGGATTTGGCTTTACTCACATCTATTTGGAAACTGATGTATAAGACTGTAATAAAAAAAACTCTAGTAAGTCCAATGTTAAGGCTACTCAACCTTGCCATGGTGTCCCTCTTATTCTTTACACAGTGATAGAGGTGGGGAAGAGGACATGGGTAGCTGGCCTTGGGAGAATAGCACCCTGAGACCATTTGTACAATGAGTCAATATTTCATTATTGATCACAAACTGAACAGGTATTATACTTTCTAAGAGTTCTTGAATTTGTGTCACTAGCTCGGTGTTTGTATTCCCTTATTTCTTTTTTCCCATTATTTCTTAAAATACTAAGATATATTAATATCAAAACAGTTCTTAAATATTTCTTAAAACCAAAAGACAGCAGGAAAGCAAATCTTACTTAGTCTTTATCTAACCAAAGTTGGGATAAGACTTATGGCTGAAAGAAGTAACAGGATAAATCAAACAGGACATGCAGTCTTTATGAGCAAACCAAATGAAAGTGGCTTAATAACAATAACATTTCTTGCTTTCTTAAATTCTGGAGGTAGGTTCTTAGTATGACAATGTTGTCAGGGACCCTGGTTCTTTCTTTTTCTTCCACTCTGCCTTCTTTAGTATGTGATTGTATCTTCTCAGTGTTTGCAAATTGCTTACCACTAGTCTGAACTCCACAGCCCCATGGAAGATATCTCAGGCAGGAAGGAGATAGAAAAAAGGAACTTCTTTCACGTAGTTCTTGCTTTTACAGGGTAGAAAGTCTTTTCTAGAAGTTATACCTAGGACTTTGATATCTCGTTAGAAAGGATTAAGTCAACACACCTTGGTCATGTGAAAGTAGAACGAACATGAACTTAAACCCCTTGAATTTATTCTTTGGGGTAGGGAACATTGACTTCTGAATGGAATCAGGACTTTGTAAGAAAGAAAGGGACCTAACATGAAAAACCAACAGGGTTCACCACAATGGTTTTCTTCTCTTCTCTCTTTATGTCACTTTAGGGATTTTACCTATTGTATACCTACTGCTCCCTTCAAAATCTATATTTGTTTCTAAGTTTTCCTAAGGTCCACATACATTACCATCTACCCATTATGTATCTACACCTGAGTGTCCTGTAGTAGCTCATATGTGTGTCTAAAATTATGCACTTCTACCTCATCCTGGAATGGAGAAGAACTTTTATTACTACCAAAATATACTGATTAAAATACTACTGATCATCTAGTCTTCAGTACTAGGAAACAGGATTATCTTGAACTACTCCTCCACATCCTATTCTAACTTCTCTTGATTTAAACTTTTTTCCAACTCAATATATCTTGTATCCACACTCTCCAAATGGATCTGTTAGTTGTTTTTAGGGTGACAATGTATGCGCTTGTATGAATACATGAACATATGTTCAGTGTAGGGATATATAAATGCATGTTCAGTGAGCTTTAACCAAACCTGGAAATATCATTCTTAATTCCATTTATGTACACTGGCAGCTAATAAAGGTGAGAAGCATTATAAAGTCTTGGCTTGCTTTTGTAAAGTGATACTAAGTATAATTATTTATGTGAACTTTTACTATTTGTTCCTAATTACCATGCACTAAAATTGTGATGACGACAACAAATAAGAAAACTAACTTCCTTTTACACACAAAACACGACCAAAAATGTCCCTCCAAAGACAAAATACAGAAGACAACAAATAACTGTGTGTCCAATCAAATTTATTGTTTTATTCATTTATGATTGAGATGATTACATTTCAGAAAAGAAAGTTTAGATAACAGTGGTCTCATGATTGCTAAAGTTAAAATGCTCCCATTTTATTTAGTTAGTGGAATTTAATTATACATGAAGTTGAATGACCTAAGAATACCAAGGCAAGAATGAAATATTGGTTCAATTATCATCTCAAACAAACAAAAGAATTAATGTAAATTTATTGTCATAATTATAGGGCTCTTAAGTACTAGAATGAAGAAATTCATGGCTATGGAGAAAGTACTTGGACATAAGTGCTGTGGAGTACTCCATCTAACTCACTCAGCCTAGAAACTCTACTGTTGTTGAGCATGTCTGGTCACACTCAGAGGATGCAAAGGGCCTCCATAAATATAATAATATAATTATCTTAAATATGTTAATAAATACATATATAAATAACTTAAAAATAACATTCTGTGGTCTGTCTTCTTCTTGAGGCTCAGCTTCAAGACTTATTTGACTAAAATGACCTTACTATTTGAGATAAAAAAACACTGAGGCAGGAAAGACATAGGTATCATTCTCTCCCTTTTGAAAATGATAAAACTGAGATCCCAGTAACTATTCCTAGTTGACTAAAAGTCTATCAGGGCCGGGGATTTAGCTCAGTGGCTTCACTGCCTGCCTTGCAAGCACAGGGACCTGAGTTCAATCCCCGGTACCCCCCCCCCCAAAAGTCTATCAGTAATTTAGAAGCAGAAGGCACAAAGTTGGAATGAAATCCTAGGCCTGTAGCTTCTCATTCCAACTGCTATTTGTGTATTTTTTAGTTTTCTTATGCCTTGGCTAACCTGTCTGTAATATGAGGAGAATCTTTTTGGTAGCTGCAGTCAGTAGCCCTGGTCCTCCTACGAATGTTATGAAGAATGATAATTAAAATGATTGGTACTGTGCAAAGTATAGGGTGTTCTTTAAATAACAAATAGCATTATATGTTAATGTTGGGTCTGTTAGATATTCCCTTCTCTTACAAAGAGGGTAAACATTCATTTAGAATTACAAAGGCTCAGCACATGCTCAGCAAATGAGTAAGAGTAACGAGTTTGACTTCTTCATGTACATAGTACATACAGACTAATATGGTACATCCAGAGTCGACTCTGGTTTTAGGATATCTGAAAGTCTGTCATAGAGGATGATCCCCTGGCCATGTGCACCAGACTGTCTTCCTTTGTGGCAATGAGCAGCTCTGAATTGGCAGCTGACCTGAAGAAGTTATGACCTCTTTCATTTTCCCAGAAGAAGAGCAGGTTGAGCTCATTACCTGTGATGATTTTTGGTGTCTCAGGCATCTCCTATGATAAAGAGAAGAGAATTATATTAGAGAACAAGAAGATGCTAGACAAAAAAAACTGAAGCCCAATCCTCTGACATTTGGCTTCTTTTTAGAAATAGCACGTGTATTTTTATTTTATTTATGTATTTATTTATTTTTTTGGTGCCAGGGATCAAACTCAGGACCTTGCGCTTTCGAGGCAGGTGGCAGAACCACTGAGCTAAATCCCTGGCCCAGAAACAGCATGTTAGGACTATGACTCTAAAATGATGATACACGTTCTTCATTCATCAAGCATTTATTACATGCTAATTAGATGTATGACCTAGTTTATTCATTAGTTGGAGAGAAATCTAAATTAGTCATGAAGATTGCCAATGGAACTAGTTTCTCTGGGCAGGGGGGGATGAAACATTGTTTGTGTCCTGCCTTCAACATAGGCATAAGGCATTTTCTTCAAATCTGAGCACCAACTATTCTAACGCCTTTAAGCATTTTAACCTCTAAGTGTGCAAATCATACTTTTGGGAAAACAATTTAGCATTTAGATCACATTCATCTTCACATTTATTTAAAACAATTAAAGGTTACACACACACACACACACACACACGCACACACACACACCACTGTCCCATCCCAGATAGATCAGCATCTGAACACTTTGGATACAATCTCTTTAAATTATATTCTTCCTAAGTATAGAATCTAACGATTCTTTCATGGAAAAATGAATTTCACATTCCATGCTTAGTTGCTCCTTTCCTACTCTTTTTAATCTAAAACTAGTAAATATCCTTCTGAGGTTTCCTTGGGATTTTCAGTGTCGGCAATGATTTTATTACCCAAGCTTATTCCTCTGCTAGTTTTTTCCATCTCAGCAAATCAAGTCTCTCCTCTTCTTCCTGTTGTTTCATCTCCAAAATATAATCCAATTCCATTTCTTTCCACTTTATCCTATTCCACAACTACAGTCATAACCTCTTAATTGGGCTCTCTGCTTTCTCTATACTGGTATAGTCTTCATTTAAGAAATATAAGTAGGTCAGGACATTGCACTATCTGAAACTTTTTAATGGCTTTTCATTGTACTTCAAATGAAATCCAAATGCAAATCCTATAAGCATTGCCCCTGCATATCTTTCTTCCTCACAATTTCCCACATTCCTGGAGCTGGACTTTAAGCTCATGAAGCTAGGGGTTAGGTGCCTGTAGGCTCTTCTGTTTAGAATGCCCCACCCTACTAATCCTCTTGTATGGTATGATCTTTTCTACCAGCAATTCTCAACTCTGCTTTTGCTACTCCAGATAAATAACATGCTGCCATTTTACTCTCTTTGAGCCCTATTCAGTTTCTTTACAGTACCTTGCACTTTTTGCCGGTCATTTGACTTGGTCCCAGAAGGCTAAAGAGATAGGGACTTTGATATACAACTGTCCTTACAGCAGTAGGCACTGTGCTTGACAAGTAGAAGGCACTCACTAAATAATATTTGTTGAATGAATTCCTAAGTAAAGCTATGGCCCCATTCTATGGACATCATTTTTATTTGACTTGATCCATAAATTCTAATTGGGGCAGGAGGCATTGGGTTATACATTTATTGAATGAAAATTAACTACTTACCAGTAGAGAAAATACTTAAGGCTATAAGGCTATATTGTGTGTGTGTGTGTGTGTGTGTGTGTGTGTGTGTTTGAGGGGGATAGTAGGAGAGAAGATGAGAGGGGCTGTGATGAGGGGTAATAATAGCACTCATAAAAAGGGAGAGGCACAGGAGAGAGAAGAGAAGGTCAGGGTTTGAATCTTGGTTTCCCACTTTTTTATTTGTGGCCCTTGACAGGTGGTCATTCCTCTCTGATCTCAGATGGCTCACTAAGTTTCTTGGAGGCAGACCACATTGTCCTAATGTCAGGTGTCATGTAGTCAGGTAATATTGTCAATAAAGATTTGTGGAATACATGGATGCCCTGGGATGAGAAGTGAATAGGGTCAGGAAAAGCAAAAGGAAGTAATTTATCTTATTTTCTTTGCCACCTCCATTGCCCCTCTCATAGATTCTGCCCAGATTTTGCCTCTGAGGATAGGTAAGAAGTCAGATGGGGGTAGAGTATGGGGGAGGGATGTGGAAGAAAGGGAAGAGGACTGTGACACCATTCTAGGAGCATAAATGGGAAGTAATGAGGGTAAGCTGGAGACTGGGGAAACTGACCTTCAGCAACATGGGCTGGTCTTCTTCTTGGGCACTCACAAACAGTCGGGTTTTTGAGATTCTTAAAGTCACAGGATTTGTATTATCATCTGTTGCTGATATGTAGCCACCCATGTCAAATTTCACAGCTAAAGAGAAGAGCCAAAAAGAAAGTGAATTCATTGTATTTTTATAAAATCAAATGTTTATGCAGATTGTGTGTGTGTGTGTAATTAGGTTCCCAACTCCAGAGTAAATAAATACTCGGAATTCAGAAATAGAACTTTGCATATCTCTGTATCCTTTTCAATATCCACATATTTATCAGGCAGGTAATAGTTAATGTTTTTAGCATTTCCTATGTTGATGGAATACTTAGGGGATGAATAAATATTTGTTGGGTCTTGTTATGTTTGTGGGATAAGACTATCATTTGTTAGTTCATGAGTTCATAATGAGCTAAAGAGTGGAAAGTCAAGAAACGTGACACATGCATATGAAAAAGTAGTTCAATTTCTTGGTGGCACATGCCTGCAGTCCCAGCGTTCTGGGAGGCTGAGGCAGAGTACCACAAGTTTGAGCCCATCCTGGGCAGCTCAGAAAGGCCCTATATCAAAATAAAAAATAAAAATATAAAAAGGGCTGGGGATGTAGCTCACTGTGCAAACCTTGTATTCAGTCCCCAGCACTGCTTAAAAAAAAGAAAAGAAAAAAGAAAATCCATGGGAGGATCAACATAGCAACATGATTGAAAAGTGCTATTGAAAATAGCAATTACATATACTATGTCAGTATGTGATAAATTTTTTAGACATAATAAATTTCATTCTTTTGAACACATTACAGCTTATTGGTTACTTTGCCTCACAACTCAGTTATCAAGAATAACAGAAATCTTCCCAGTTCAGTGTTATTTCTAAGTTTGATTTTTAGGATTTTTAATGGACAGTGATTGCTCCTCATTGGCTTCTGGGTGAATTTGAGTAAGTCATTTAATATTTCTGACACTCAGGTTCTTCATCTTTAAAATCAGAAGGTAAGAATATCTACAAGAGCCAAGGAGAGAGGATGCCAGAAAGCTTTGTGTTCCCCTCATTGTTCTCAGGGAAACTCTTGTCTTGTGGAATCTGTAGTTTGGCTGAAATTTCTGTCTTTGGGATTTTTTACCAGGAGTTGGGATGGGGGGATGTGTTTCATCTTATTCTGGTATTGTGCAAAGTCAAGGTTCTAGGGAGGTTCATTCTTTGAAATCAGAATGCTTGAAAGAAATAAAAGGAGAGGAGGGTAACAAGTTGACCATTTACCTTCCTGGCTCAGGTCAGTTAATGCAACAGCCCTGAGGTATTGACCCGTCGCATCTAGAGTTATACTTTGATGAATGGAATCACTTAGGACAAATTCCTTCCTGAGAATCCTCATGTATTTGTATCTCACATTGCTCTGGAGGGTGTGAGGTGCTGACTGCGGCTTGATGATTTCTAAAACCATTATCACAAGTTCAGATTAACATCTAGGTACAAACACAGAAGATATATACATGCTATTCCGAGCACAGAAAGTAGCTCTGAAAGGGACATTAGGAACAGTTCGATCCAAGTAATGGGATAGAAGTGAAATCAGTTAATACTAGATTTGATTCTAAGATTTGTCTTGGTTTACTTATTTGCTTCTTTTAAAGCGAATTTCTCAGGCAATAGTGTTTTTTTTTAAAAGAGAGATTATTGGTGCAACTTTCTCAGTTTGAGTTGTTTGGAGGTTACTAAGTGACCAGGAAGACTCCCAAGTATTTCCCACCTATATTTTCAAGTGACTATACTGTGAGAAAAAATGAATACATTAAAAATTTATCATTTAAAAAAATTATAATTTTTCACTGAAGGTGTCCATGTACCATCCCTCTTTCTGGAAAGTAGTTTGTCTCAAAAGCCTTGTGGCTCTGAGTAATTTCACTTTTAGGCATCTATTTTAAGGAAATAAAGATTTATTGATAGAGAGATGCTCATTGTCATTTTACTTATGATGGTGAAGAATTGATTCTCTAAGATGCCCTTGGTGAAAAAGGTTGGATATGAAATTGCATATTCTTGATAATGTAAAATATGCTTGTTCCTGTGTGTGTCTGTATAAAGAAAAGACTTTAAAGAAACATATGGTAGTATTTGTGGGGGTAAACTCTGAAGTAGCAAAAATGAGTGATTTTTATGTTCTTTAAAAAATATTTTCTTGTATTTTTAAACTTTCTGGGTGAACGTATATTATTGCTTAGGTGTATATTAAAAACAGGAATATTGGTTTATATGTCATGTGGAAACATATATGGTAAAGGCATGAAAGAAAAACCATGATTTTAATAGTCAAAGCTGAATAGATTTGAGCATCTCCCACACACAGACTGTGTGACTTTGGGCAGGCTGCTTATCTCAGTGAGCTTAATTTCGTCATGTGTAAAATGAGAATGTAAGATTGTTGTGAGGCTTAGAGTTAGTGCAGCCATTAGTAAATCAGTGGTATTGGCTGCATCAGTAATAGTAGTAGCAACAGCTAACATTTCTTGAGTGGTTACTATGCACCAGACATTATTCTAGTTCAGAAGTTTGGAAGCATTGACTCATGTAATCTTGTTAACAGTTCAATGAGGCAGGGACTCTGATCATCTCCAATTTACAGGAGAAGGAACTAAAGCATAGGAAGATGAAATGACATGCCAAATGAGGTATAGTTAGTAAGTAGAGGTCACCAACTAGCAGTCTATACACACTTTTGCTGGAAAGGCTAAAATTCTTATGACCTTTACAATGTGGTCAAGAGAGGAGCTCACAAATAAATATACAAGACTCAGGCTATTTCTAACCCACCTACACACACCAGAGAAGGGCAAAAATTCATTTTCCTTTGTAAAGGAAAATGTCTTTTTTTTTCTCTCTCTCTCTTTTTTTTTTCTGACTGTAGATTTTATTTCCCCTATGCTCTATTGTCTCCATTTACTTAAAACTGAAAAACAAGGGCACCATTGTGTTTGACTCCTTACCTTCTTCTGGATCATTGGCGATGGCGTCCAGATCTTCATTAGTAATGGTTTGATTTAAGCTCAGCCATCTCTTCTTCAGAACTGTCCCATGGGCTGACGTTGACACCACCACCAAGTTCTTCTTGAAGGTAAGCTCAGATGCTTCAGAGGTTTCAAGTGTTCTCAGAGACATGGATGTATTCATGCAGTTCTTGTCAAGTGGGCCATAGCTTGTGTCATAGAAGGATTTCTATGGGGAGGAAAAAAATGACAACTGAGAGGCTATCTGTGGCCATAGAATGAAATTTTTTTCAGTAGGAGCTGTATTCAATGGATGTATCAAGAAAGCTCTTCATTCTGGCCCTGGGTAACCCATGCTTCCTTAGTTCTTCCACCCCCTTTTCCCTCCTTCCCTTCTTCCTCTTGCCCTGTTTCCCTGAAAGCAGGTGATTTCTTAGGAAAACATTTTCATCCATCTGCAGGCTCAAAAATGATATGTTGTAATGAAACAAGTTGACAAATCATCTGAGTGAGTGATAGCCCTCCACTGAGTTCCCTCTCAGGGGGTTAAATGTCTATTTCACAGCATTCTAAAATATTTCAGAAATACATTCAGCCCTCTGTATCCATGAGTTTTGCATCTTGAGATTCAACCAACATCAGATCAAAAATATTTGGAGAAAATAAATTGCATCTGTATTGTACATATACAGCTTTCTTCTTGTCTCATTATTTTCTAAACAACACAGTACAACAATTACTTACATAGCATTTATACCAAGTTGGTATTATAAATAATTTAGAGATGATTAAGTACACAGGAGGATATGTGCAAGGTATTTGCAAATGCATATGCAACAGATTTTTGCATCTGCAGATATTGGTTCCACAGGGGTCCTGGAACCCATTGCCTGTGATACCTAGGGATGGCTGTACTCTTCTGGGAGCAGCTTTCAAAGCCAGTACCACAGACACAGAAAATAACACAGCTGGGTGAGTGTTGACAAGTTTCTCATCTCCAACTGGCCTGCTTCTTTTACCTCAGCTCCATGGGCCATTATGTTGGGAGGGCTATTTCCAACCTCTGATGTTGGAATCAGAGGACAACCATAACATTTCACATTGGGAGACAGAGCCCTGGTGAAGTGACCAGAAGGGCTGCACCAGGATGGCATAGCTGACATCCAAAGAAGCCTGACCCAAGAGACTCTTGTTTTCAGGGCTTTGGGATAGTAATGCTCTGATTTGTAAAAGCTGAAGAACACAAAGAGTCCTGTAAGCTATTAGTGTAGACAAGCAAGAGGTCTAACTTGTAATGAAGAAATCCTGGTCTCTGGACCTCTAGCGAGGACAAAACAAAAGTATCTAAGGCTCAACACCCTGTTTTGATCTTTTGGTGAAGGATATGCAGCGTGAGAAAAACAGCCCTGTAAGAGGAGCAATCATCTTCCTACCTGATTCAGAGAGAGATGGTCAATGGCAGAAGCATATTCTTCATTTTCACTGTCAAAAAAGTGACGAGGATGTAATTCAGTTGTTTCACTATGGTCACTGAGCATTGAATTTTAATGAGCACATTAGCTTTGGGTGAAACACACACAAATCATTACTGTTATCATTGAAAATTAAGGACAGCTATATATTCACATATATACAGTAATTCATACTTCATTAATTTGGAATTAGTAATCATTAGAACAAGCATTGTACTTTATGTATAAAATCTGGATTTGGCTAACAACTTGAAGAGTTTTAATTTGATTTCACAGGAAAAAGTTCTTCAAGAACAGAAATACTTTTGAAACACTACATAGATCCTCTGTAACACACACACTACTTTCATGTATTTACTAGAATAGATTTAATAATTAATACTTGGAAAAATATCCAGACAACATCTTGGTAGCTTAGTTTGTGTTCATAATTACTATAGGTAATGGGAACATAATGTTAGTTCAAAATGTCCTGTAACTAACTCTTGGTTTATGTCTCTTCTGTATCTGAATGAAGTTTGACTTTGTATGTACACTGATGTACTCAAATTGCTGGGGAGTTATCTCCTCTCCCAACAGAGATTCAGCTCTCCTGAGAATAGATTCTCTTGCACACCATACATTAAAACCCATTACCGTAACAGGGCATGTGGACTCAGTTGAGGCTGTATCTAAGTTGATGTTGAAATTCACATAGGACCCAGCAGACCTCAAAAATAACTTTTCTATAATGTTCACCTCAGTTTAACATACTGCATACTTAGTTCTCCTTGGTGTTTTATGAAGCTGACAGTATGCTTTTCCATAGCCTCTGCCAGCCCAATCCCATGCTGGCCATTGTAACTCCTAGCTACATTCTAATAAGCCTCGAACCTCCCATTAAATCACAAGAGATAGAATCTATTTTCTACCTGTAACAGCTCTTCAGGTCTTCGAACAGGTTCGGAATTTCGGCCATCTTGACTTCTGCAACAGGAAGACACCAGTGGCTGTCAGCTCAGCCAGCATATGAGCCAGATGCCAGGAAGGGCAACTACCTCTGCCTCGTGCTTCTTAAGAAACTCCTTTGACTGACTTAGGCCACACCCAGCATTTTCCCCATTCTTCTTCTGCTCACTCTCTTGCATTATTTTATATGCATCTGCCTCTTCTACTGGATTGTAAACCTCTTTTAGAAAGCTTTATTTATCTTGGTATTCCTTATGTAGCCAACTCTATGCATTGCACATAGTAGTCATGCAATCAATGCTTGGATAGCTTAAAAGAAATAAAGCCACAAGAAAGAGATATTCACTTTATACAGATGCAAGAGAGAAACAGAAATGTTCAGTTTTCTCTTAATAGTTCTTGGTGGTAGAAAATTCCTCCCACAGAGGAAGACTTGGCTGTACCCACAGATGTCCTTAGATAAATCCAGTTTTCTGGCTGCCCTTCATTTCCCCTTCAGTAAAACAAGATAGCCATTTTCTTAAATCTAACTGGTGTATAATTCTAGCTCATACACCAAATCAAGAAAGGACAGGAAAAGAAAAAAGGAAGAGGCCATATTTTTAAGACAACAAAGGAGAAAATAAAAACACTTAAAGATGTGGTAAGGACAATACCTTTGCCGACTCAAGTGCCAATGAAATGACTTCCTCACTGCTTTGGAACTCCAGCCTGAGTCAGGCTTCTTTGCCTTTTATAATTGTCTCTCTAAGTAGGTGTGGCCCTAAGTGTGTCACCCGGAATTTACAGGAAATCTGTTTTTTATTTTATATGTTTATTCAACTTGATACTGGCCAGAATAATGAGAGCTTGTATACTTGTATACTTGGTAATATTGCTGTTTGCAAAGATTCCAGGAGTTATTGACTTAACTCATTTATTTATTATTTGCTCCATATAATTGTAGTCCTAGAAAAAGGGAAGAACAGCAGGAAGCTTATCAAATTTCTAAAAATAAATGATGTAGTAGGAAGGAAGAAATCCCTGAATCAGGATTATAGATTACCAGAGTTAGAGAGAAGCTGGGTAGCTGTACTTCATGTTTTGGCTTGATTTTGTTTATTGTGTCCCAGGGTTGAGTGTAAATTGGCAGAATAATTGATAGCTACTGGCAGCTATGGGGTGGCATTTGAGGAAAATGAACCATTTGTTTCTGAAGGGGGATACTTGCTTGAATGTGGCACAAGTTTATCTGAGTATGGAGTGACGACATGGTTAGATTAGGACAGAGGAGAGAAAATTGGTATTTGACCAACAAAGTCTTCACCCTCTTACTCCTTAGAAGTGTCCACACATTTCCTACACATGTGATAGAGCTTCAGGAGAGAACTCCCAGCCCTAGTCATGTTAGTAAGGTGGCCCTGTACCAGAGCCTAAAGACAGCTCTGGTGTTCCCTGGGGAAAGCCAAGGTGGGTGAGGATGGATGTCCACTCAGAGAGGCGTGGGCAAAGCACCCACTAGAGCCAGTGGCTCAGTTAGGAAATGTAGGTTGTGGGAAGGGAAAGCATGGGTCCTACATGTGACATTGTCCCAGTGTTGATTTTTCAGTATCCCAAGGCCAGCCCAGATCAGGTGACAGAATATCAGACTCTTAACAAATCTGTTTCATGTTTCCTAGTCGGAGTTTCAGCTGCATAAACTTTAGATAGAGGGAATGGATGGAAGAGGAAAGGAAAAATAGGTAAAGAGAGAAAAGTTAGGCATTGAAATGTGGCATAAAAAGCCAAAAAACACAGAACTGGGAGTCAAGTGGTTTATGCGAGTTGGATAGAGTATTCTATTTGGGTCTGTTTAGCTGTAAATAATAAGATTGGTTAGATGATCAGTGAGGTGTAGTATACTTGCAGAATCTCTGATTCTGATTCTGCTGTCCAGTCTAGTTCCTTCTGGTGTTATAAACAGAGATAAGTGGCTCCCTGGACTCAGGATGTGTCAGTGCAGGACCAGATTGGGGCAGAAACTTGGTGTCTCAGAACAGATCCTGTGTGAACACAGATGGCAGCCAAGGAACCCTCCACATTTCTGCTTACCTTGGTTTCCCTTTGAGCAGCACAGAAATGTTAACCCTGGTCACCCCCTCTGCCTCCTGGGCATCTTGTGAGAACTATTACTAAGACACAATTGCAGAGCACATTGTGAATGTGGGCTGCTATGGAGATGCAACTAAACAAAAATAATAACACTAATGATGGCTTCAGTCACTTTGAGAACCTGTCTAGTCATCTCTGGAATGCCTCAGTTCCCTGAAGAAAATAGAGTTCTCATGAAAATACTAGTTTTACAACTTCAACAGGGAGGAAAGTTTTAGGTGAAGGCCACCATTGAAACCCTGAAGATACTTAGCTTCTGGGAACAGTACATAGGATCTCTTTGGTAATCCAGGAAAACACCCTTGGTTCTACCAGCTGTGGCAACACCCAGCCTGTCCCCATCTTCATTCCTTGTGCTATAGAGAATTTCCCAGATGTGATTGTTGAATTTCTCAAGGAGAGTTTGGTTGAGAAACAGCCAACTCGGGTCATGTATCATCCAAATTATCACTTCACACTACCTCCTTGGAAAGTGGTTTTAAAAGGAAAAAAACAGGTGGATGAGGCTTGGAGAGGGAGAGGTCCTTACTTTTTCTGGGGGGAGGAGGAATGGAGCTACTTTTCTATGACTGTGAATCAAAACTGAACAGACCACTTCTTCTAGAGAAGTGAGAAAGGATGTACCGAGTGGTTCTTTACTGGGTCCTATGGTGTGTGTGTGTGTGTGTGTGTGTGTGTGTGTTGTGGGGGGGCTGTGGTGTGATAGGGACTTTGAGTGGCTTCATGCCACACCTCTCAACTTTCTAAGGAGGACTCAGAAAACTCTTCCTGGGGCTGGAGATTTAGCTCATTGGCGCCTGTGCCTGCCTCCCAAGCGTAAGGTCCCGAGTACGATCCCTAGTAGCAAAAAAAAGGAAAGCTCTTTTTGACTCACTGTCACCTAAATAATTCAGAAAAATAGTATTGTGCACTTATTCTGTATCACAGGTTTTGCTAGGTATCAGCATTTTTCTTTTATGGCCCACAAAATTAAGTATGCCAGATGAAATGTTGTGTATGTGTGGATGAGTGAATATACTTATAAGTTGAGAGGCTGTGGATCCAAGGAAATTTGATAGTTTCCATATGACAATTGCTTCACAGTTCACAAAGAACTCTCGGTTGGGATCCTGATTGGACCTATGAGAGGAAACCATCTTGGAAGAGGTTAAGGGATCAATCTAAGGTCACAAAAAGTCAGAGCCAGCACTTCATCTCAGGTTTCTGATTCCAAGTCTAATCTTCTTTTTCCACTACATATAGATGTTTGAGTTTCTTATCATTACCAGTGCCAAGTGACAGAGTGGAAATGAATCATTCTTGAGGTTTTTCCCACCTTAAACACTCTATCATTCAGTGATTCTAGGATCCTTATAAAAATGAAATACACATGAAAAAAATGGAAAGATCTCTCCCGCCCTTCTTTTATTTCAATGAAATCTCCTTTTATTCTGTGATACACAGACATCAGGGTCACAGTGATCTATATAATTGAGTATATGGTTAGTGGTGGAGTCTGGCTGTGAATCTAGGCGTGGTCTTATCAGTGTACCATGAAAACGGGAAAGATCTTTGGAAGCAACTTTAAAATTGTTACACGCATTTAGATGTAACAGAAATCACTTGATTGTAGAGAAAAGTACAATATTTCTCTGTGAATTTTCTGGGGAAAATTTGACTGCATGTATCCATTGATTATCTACCCCAGACTCAAGCAACCACAGATTGAAAACACTTAAAAAATGTGTCTGTACTGAACATGTATGGACTATTTTTCTTGCCAATACTCCCTAAATAATATACTATGGTAGTTATTTTCATACCATTTATATTATACTAAGTACTATAAGTTATCTAGAAATTATTTTGATTGTATAGGGGGATGTGTATAGGATCTATGCAAATTCTAAGGTGTCTATAAGGTACTTACATAAAATCCATGGATTTTGGTATCTGTAGGGGTTGATGGGGTCCTGGAACTAATGCCCTGTGGATACTAGGGACAGATGTATTTTTTTCAGGTAGTATAAACCCCTTCAGAGAAATAAAGCATGCATAAACCATCATATGGAGGGAAATTGAACCTTTTGTCTCAACTCACATCCTATTTAGTTATAATCTGCTTCTTAATTCCATGACAGCCAGGGAGGAGGAAAAGACAGCATGGTTGCTTACCATGTGCTGGGAGTTATAATCCATTTTCTTGTTTAATCCTATCATCAAACCTGTGAGGCATTCTTATTACATGGTACAGAAGAGGAAGTCAAGGTCTAGAGAAATTAAGCAATCAGACCAAGGTTACAAGGCTACCAAATTGCAGAAGTAGGATTCAGATACCAGAGTTTAACTCTATCAACCACAAAGCCTTCTCTTTTCCTTGGTGTGGCCTCTTTTTCCCTGTGTGTTCTTTTAAATTAAGTTTTATTTCTTTTGCTTTGTCTTAGTGTACCGAAGTTCCTGGAAATATGTGTTAGAGAAAGGTGCACTTTGGAGATCACCTAAAATTTTAGGTCTTAAAGTCTTGATTTTACAAAAGAGGAAACAGTTTTAGAGGGGAAGTGTTGCCCCAAAGTCACATGGAGAATTTATATGAGAGTGGAAAATAAAATTAAAAGACACTTTATTGATTTCTAGATCAAAATATCCTATTACTTGGTGACATTGGGCATCTCCTCTTCCGCAAAGAGGAGAAAGGTGAAGAAATAATCTCTCCCATGATTCTCACTTGTAAATAACAAAGGAGTTACAAAGATTGAAATAATATTGGGATATTCTGAACTTTTTGAGTGTTTACTTCTCATTAAGTGAGCAAAACCAGCTATGGTTCATGCATACTGAAAGCTGACTGAGAATCCTCAGCCAGGATCCCCTAACTAGTAGATAATCACAACCCAGGATGAATACTGAAAGGACATGAAACAGACCTGGTAGTCTTAGGCTAGCAGAAGGTTATTCAGTGGAGACAGAAGAGGGAACATTTCAGGCTAAGCAAAGCATGGGTGTCAAGTTTATGGAAGTAGATTATGAGTCTGGAGCTCAGAGAGGCAGGTGGTAGGAGGTGAGTTGGTGAGGTGAAGAGGGAGAGAAAAACAGGATCCAAATGGGTAGGGCCTTGTGTAGGGCCTGTAAGGTCTCAGGTCGTAGGTGCTATACTTTTAAAGATCACCTTTGTGTTTGGAAACAATTTTGAGATTGGAAAGCAGTAGACAAAGTATAGGAATTATATAGAGAAATAACAATGTTTCCACAAGGCATATATGAAAAACAGTCTTGCTGCTTTAACTCAAACTTGTGTGACCAAGACTGCAGGTGCTCTCGGAATTCATGGAGCAGAGGGATGGCAATGGCTGGGAGGAACGGGAGAAATTCAAGTTGTTGGAAACTTGTAGCAGGAAGTAATGGTTGCACATTCAGCCAGCAAATCCCTCTCTAGTTGTGACCTCTTCTCTTTGCTGTAGTTCATTTCTTCCCTGATTTTGGTGCTTTTTTCTTTTCTAAATTTCCTTTCCATCTTCTCTTGAGATGGTAACTAAGAAGGCTGTGTCTTCTCTTTGCCTTCTTCCCTCCATGCTCTTTAAAAATTAG